ACACACACACACACACACACACACACACACACACACACACACACACACACTCACCCACCCACCATGCCTTAACAGGATTTTCTAGGAAGGTTGCTTAACGATTTTCGATTTTTTCTCATGAGATTTTTAAAAACTGGGATTTACTTTCTACCATACTGGGAGTCTGACTGCCATAAATTACTTGGGAATCTTGTTTTAGACTCTTAGGTATGAATAAGCCTGATTTCCACCCCCATTGATTATTCAGTGTGACTCCTTATCCATATGAGGATCCAGTATTATTATATTATTACAGTCTTTATAAGGCGAAGGTTTGAAGTAACTTAGACTCATAGAGTTGTGTCCCCTACACAACATTTTATTATGAAAATGTTCAAACATACAGGAAAAGTTGAAAGACATTTACAGTGAGTACCTCTAAACCCCCCATCTTCTGGCCATTAACTATCCCACTATCTGTCCAATCTTGTTGTTTTGATGCATTCTAAGTAAGCTGCAGACATCAGTACATTACCCAGAATCGTGGAGGTTTTAGGTTAAGAGTGATTTTCAATCTTAAAAAAAAACCAAAAAAACTGAAATCTTACCATTAATACCACACAAAGGCTATATAGCTGGTGCTGCCCTGGTGGGAAGAGGAATGTGGTCCAGAGCTCTTTTCTCAGCCTCGTCTCCATCTTCCCCTTTATTAAGGGCTCTGCAGTGCAGTTGGGAAAACAGCACTCATCCCCTTCATTTGCACATTGAGGAAACTTGTTTGTCCAAGATGGCAGAGTAACTTATGGCTGAACTACTAGGAGTCAGATCCAAGTCTCCTGATTTTGTTGCTGTGACTGTTCAAGGTTGTAGCTTCCTGGAGCTGTGGAATCACAGAGTCTTGGTGTTAAAAGTAGCCATAAAGTTATTTATTCTGTGAACCCACCTGTCTTCCTTTAATTATGTTGCAGTCATCTGCTTTTCTTTGTGTCAACGTAACCATGCTTATTTGGGGAATAAATCTTGACATAAAAGAGAAGGGAACTGAATTGTGCTGTTAAAATAGATTTCTGATGTGGGATCAAGGGCTCTATCCTGAGAGGATGATTTGGATGGTCCATAAAAATCATATCATGATCTAATGTCCTAGTGAAAAATCACAATTTTAAATCATTGTGAGATTTTATAGTATGTGTAATGTGGATATTATAAAAAGCTCCAGCTGCTGATTTGAATTCCTTGATTTAATTTGTAGATCATTGTGAAATAACGAGTAGATTAAAAAACCCAAAAACATTTAATTGCCTATAGCTGCAACATTATATAAAATGAAATTTACTTTTTCAGCCTAGAAGTGCATTAAAAATATGTTTTTATTGTACTTAATGTTTGTTTTTTTTCTGATTATATAGAATATAATGATTAGAAAATACATAGTATCACCAGTTACCAAAAAATTTTTTTTTGTTTTTTTGTTTTTAATCATCTAAAAATCTAGTGAAAAAGAGGAGGAATTGGCACAGGCATGACTACACAGAAATTGATGATGGTTCCAAACCAGTCCAAGCTGGAACTAGAACGTTTGTGAAGGAATTACGTTCTCGAGTCTTCCCAAGGTATGGAAACCTGTTCTGACCAAAGAAAATACAATAACGTTATCTTATATAGTGACATTATGTAAAGTAATATTTTCAAATGTCAGGTTGCAACCTATTATTATTCTCAATCGAGGTTTTACTTGTAAACAATGAAATAGAAAATATTGGGACATTGCAAGTAATAGGACTAAATAAGCATAGTTTCATGGAACTTTTGTTACATACATGTGTACTGGGTCGCTTATAAAAATATATTTCTTAACTGTGGATCCCAGTCCAAAACAGTTTGAGATACACTAATCTAAGGGAATCGTTCTCAGAACTTCATTCCTAATGATATGCAGCTGTTGCTTCCTTACACCTCACCTGCTCCTCTTTTCAAATTATCTTTTTCTTACATTGTTTTCATATCTGTCTCCACCTCAGGTCTACCAGAAGTACCCACATCATTGCTCAGCCTCTCTGGTGGCAGCAGAACTGAGCTTTTTGATTTTTTAAAGATAATGGAAAGTATTTGAGTTATCTGTGGCTCAAACAGAGCCAAAAGCATTATACAGCATTTAATCATGCTAATTTAGATCATTCCCTACTCACTGCCTGATGTCTATTTAAAGTGATAATGCTTAATACGATTTTACACAAGATCATATCCAGACTTGTTAAAGAGGGGACGCAAAATTTAAATTTAAATCACAATATCACATGCAGCCTATTATGGAATTATTTCAGATCCTGTAACTATAAAATTCTTCTATTTCTTCAGTCTTGAGGATTTCTGTCTCTCTCCCTTTTCCTTAATCCTTAAACAGAAACATAAAAGTATAAGCAGCTACCAGTGGCTCCCTCAGGTCTACTGAGAGAAAGAACACATTGTTAACATATAGTGGTTTCCACATGATTTTTGTGATATTAAAGGCCCTATTCTCAAATATTCTCCTTTATCAGTTTCAAAGTCATTGGAAAGATGTGTTTGTTTTTCCTGATTGGTTTGGAGCCTGGGGCCAGATTTTTCACCCTGGGTCTATGTTCTGTCTTCAGAGAGGCTTACGAATCCTCTAAAACTGTATTAACAATTTAGTGTCAGTGTGGGAATGTGCATTTTTCAGGGAGAGGAGCCATAGCTTTCTTTTTTTTTTTTTCAAATAGGTTTGTGACCTAAAAGAGTAGTGTTAAAAACCCTGGCCCAGCAATTCCTATGGCTTCTCTGCCAAACTAGCCACGACTTATACAGATGGTCACAAATGTCCAAACTCTGATTACCATTAGTTAAAGGTCTTTGGTTTTATTTTGTTTAACTCCACAAACTTTTGCATCATTTAAAACCATAGTAGAATGACAATCATTAACTAATTTATACATAGTACTTGATGTGATGAACACAGAAATGTATAAAATAAAGAGGTTATCTTTCTCCTTCCTCATTTTGAGACTTAGTGAAGTCTTTTAAGACCATTTTCTACATAATAACATTTAATAACATAGATCTATGGATGTATATATCCATCTAAGTTTTAAAAATAAAAAAGGGTTATGTTATGCATATGCGGTACAGCTTGCTTTTTTTACTGTTATATTTCAGATACCTTTCCATATGTATATAAAAATTTACCTCACTGCTTAACTGCTGTGTAGTATGCAATAGTGTATATGTACAGCATAATTTACTTAACCATCACCCTATGATGTTTGTTTAGTTTGTCTCCAGTTTTTTTCCTTTACAAGCATTGACTGGCTGCTGATCTTGTTACTTCTCTTAACTCCAACCACTCATTACAACTAACTGTTATTCTGTTATCTCTTCTAGTGTAGTTTACCTGAACATTTACATATTGAAATACATATTTTGCTATAAACTAATTTGCTTTTTTCTCTTTTTATAGCTAAGGCATTTTATATAATATATATTCAATTATATGTATTGAAGTAATTACCTATGAATTTTACTTTTGGATAGTAAAAAGGGCTTTATAAAAACCTTGTGACAAGAAAGAGAATTAGGTATGATTGGTTGAGAACCACTGATATAGATAATAATATAGTATAGAAATTAACCCACTACCAGAATATTTTTTTTAAAACCGAAATTATCAACAAAGATGACATTTTACTTTTATGTTTTCTTTAGTGCCGATGAAATCATTGTGAAGATGCATGGCAGCCAGCTGACACAAAGATATTTGGAGAAACATGGATTTGAAGTACCTATAATGGTCCCCAAATTAGATGATCTAGGACTCAGGCTCCCTGCACCTACTTTTTCTGTTATGGATGTGGAACGTTATGTAGGTACGAACTTGATCCCATTAAGTACTTGGGAAAACACGGTAAAAGCAAAAAAGATACTGTCCTAACATATTAAAAGTTGAATGAAAAGATGTTAATTCAGTTCTGTTTCCTGGGTCAGAAAAAGTGAAAGTCAGTATCACCTATGTTGAAAACTATTTGTTCTCAGCAGACCTACAATTCTCAGAAAAACAAAATGAAACACTTTACATATTATTATTTTCTCAGCCTCATTCTACTTTTTTTGTTGTCATCACATTTTCTGGTAATTGCTTATGAAAAACTATTACTGAGGGGCAGCTACAGATACTGGGAAGAAGACATTGAGAAATTGGATAGGCTCTAGGCCTCTGTAGCATTCAGGTGCCAGATTTCTGGATTCTGCTTTAGTGACCTCCTGCTCCTTAGAGAAAGGCCGTGAAAAAGAGATATTTTTAAATCTGTTTTTATATTAATGATTTAGTGGCATTGCCATGTAATGATGTCTGAATTAAGTTGTTATTTGAGGCCCAGAAAGGCATAAGAAACAAGGGGAAAATCCCTCATCTATTTCAATATTATTGACATTTTCAGTCGTTTAATTCATTCTCATCATGGTATTTATAGAGAACGCTGACTACATGTAGATCCCATTCCTTGTCAGCAATAAACAGATTATTTGCGGATTAGACCTGAGATTGACCTTGACTCAAAGCTGTACAACCACTATAATACGTTATCTCCTGTGAATGAAATACCTGAGAACTTTCCCTTTATTGAGCCATTAGTTGACACTTCTCATTGATAACTGTTTCACTGAGGAAATCCAATTAAATGTCATGACTTCACATTCATCTAATTCTGAATATTTGATAAATTAGTGGATCAGGCTAAGGCTTAACCTAAACCTGTTTGTATAAAATAAATGGCTCATGTAATATAAGTATAGGAAAAAATGATCAAACTCCTAACTTTTTAGTACTGCAAAGCCCTTCAGTGAACAGAATTGCTGTCTACTAGGCAATACTTTCTTCGCTAATATAAGAAAATGGCATTTATTTGTTTCCTATTTCAGGTTCATTAAGTATTGCTGTATTTTGAATTCTGCCTTATCCCTTGGGACATTGTGACACTGGGGTGATGATGCAATGGTGTATAAGCAACACTTCATGGTTTTATAGGAAAATTACAAATTAATCCCAATTTAGAACTCATTCCACAGCTACTGGCATTATCTGATTTTTGCTTCCTAAGCACTAATTTTTTTTCTTGAAGCAGAATATTAGAAGAGAAGGCACTACCAGGAAGCAGAAATTGTTTGTCCTAGTTAACTTGTTTCCCAGTGGCTGACTGGTTTTTCAAAATGATAGAATCTTAGGTATTATAGAAGTGAAAGGGAAAAGTCAGTCCCCTCATTTTATGCGTGAGGAAATGAATACCCAGGGCATGTGGCACTTTCCACATTCCAATCTAATGCATTTTGTCATGAGCTGCACCCAAGAAATCATTGGTATATAGAAAGCTTTTGTAAACTATGTTTTTATGCTCAGTGTTAGTTATGCAGCTCTGGCCTAATTGCTTTATTCTTTCCTTCAAAAACCATCCCTTTTTTCAAAAGTTCCAGTTGGACTTAAAAATTAAGGATACAGGGAGATTCTTTGTCTAGGCTATATAGTTTTTATAGTTGGCTTAATTATCATACCAAGTAAATATGGTCTTTAAAATATTTTTGTTTAGGGCATCTGTTGATGTAACTCTTAAGCCCAATAATAAGACTATAATTTTTCTCTGCAGGTGGTGACAAAGTGATAGATGTCATTGATGTGGCAAGGCAGGCAGACAGCAAAATGACACTTCACAATTATGTTAAATACTTCCTGAATCCTAACAGACCAAAAGTGTTAAATGTGATCAGCCTTGAATTTTCAGATACAAAGTGAGTAGTTCTGGACATTTTGGTTTAGCCTTCTGAGTGTTAGCTAAATGTAGTTAAATGATAAATTTATTTTAGTAAGAAACATAATTGTGACTTCTACAGTAGTCCAGTGATAGCAGCATTGTAAGTTTTGCTTTGGACGCTCAGAGACTGTTTAGAAATACCAGTCTAATTTCTATTTAGAAATAGCGTTTTAAACTCTATTGTTGTTAACCCTGCATTCCCGTTAATTTATTCGTTTGGGTTGAGATGGGAGGTGCAATTTTAAGAAGTTTTAATTTCTATGATGTGGGGGTATGTGTGTGTGTATTTGTGTTTTTAAAGGATGTCTGAATTGGTGGAGGTCCCTGACATAGCCAGAAAACTTTCCTGGGTGGAAAATTACTGGCCGGACGACTCAGTCTTTCCCAAGCCGTTTGTTCAGAAATACTGCTTAATGGGAGTTGAAGACAGCTACACAGATTTCCACATTGACTTTGGAGGAACTTCAGTTTGGTACCATGTCCTCTGGGTAAGATTGGGGCATTTCTTTGTTCTCTTATTAACAGAAACATAACAATACTCTTCCACAGGTGCATTCATTTGTTGTAAATGACATTTGTAAAGAGGGAAGTTTTAGTACTATTTAAGTAGGATCTATCACTTTACCTGTAAGCATTATAATTCTTTTTAATCCCAAGTAGTAGAGTTTATATTTAGATTCCTTTTTTTGCCCCCATTTTATCAGTTGGCCTCTTTTTAGCCTTTTGTCTCTTTTTGTTTGCTTTTTCCCCTAGTCAAATATCACTTAATCACTGAATCAAATACTTGAGCAAAATTACAGTAATAATAATTGCTTCTGAATTTAAGGTTAGTCTAGGACAGCTAGTTGGATAGGTCAGGAATGCCCATAAAAATACCAGTTCTTCGCAGCTTATATTCACCTTGCTTTTTCTGTGCTATTCAGTACAGTAGTCAGTAGCCACATGTGGCTAAATTTAACTAATGACGATTAAATATACTTTAAACTTCAGTTCCTCATTTATACTAGCCACATTTCAAGTGCTTAGTAGCCACATGTGGCTTATGACTGCTGTGTTGGATAGCACAGATCTAAAACATGTCCATCATCATAAGACGTTCGTTGGACCGTGCAGATCTAGAACCAAACCTTCGTCTTATATTAAATGCCTGTGTGTTAGCAGTGCTCTGTCTGGACTATATATGATGCTGTGTCCTTGACCTCCTGTTCCTTTTCCCCATGAGAAAGCAAAGGGTTCATCATTAAAGGAAGTTTATTTGCAGGTCTTTAAAAATAATCATTATATTATAGATCTTAGTAGAACGGCAGTTTGCAGAGATGGCTTTCTGTAACCTGGGGCCTACTAACATGTATTTACTTCTGTACCTTGAAATGAGATCAGTAGGATGTTTGTAATTTTTTTTTTAACCCTCCTCTCCTGTAACTACTTCTCCAACACTACTTTATTGACTCCTTATCATATTTGGGAGGGGGAGCTTTAGCTCCTATGGAGATGCTTATTACGAACAATAGCTACTGATCAGGTACGAGAAATGTCTTGTTGACCCTAAAAAAACCTGATAATTATTTAATTTAGGTAATTATATTGGGAAATTGCATCAATATAGGCCATCCTAAGAATGGTTTTTCCTTTTCAAAAACACTGTGATTACTTCCTTTTAGGGTGAGAAGATTTTTTATTTGATAAAGCCAACAGGTGAAAACTTGGCACTCTATGAAGCTTGGAGTTCATCTGTGACCCAGAGTGAGGTGTTCTTTGGTGATAAGGTGGATAAATGCTACAAGTGTGTGGTAAAGCAGGGACATACCTTATTTGTTCCTACAGGTAAGGTTTTAATCTCACCCCCGCTCCCCATAGATGATACTCAGTCACATGGAGTCAACTTTTGATTAGAACCTCGGGCTTTAACATGTTTGCACAGTAACTTTGCACAGCCTGAGAGATAATTCTAATCTTGGACTTTTCACTCCTTTGTCCCTTAGAGGGCTTCTCTTGTAGTTAGGACTTATTTTGGTATGGTATTTCATGTCATTTGCCTTCATTTTAATTTTTATTCAGATAAAGTTTACATACTATATTTTCCCTTTTAAAGTATACAATTCAGTGGTTTTTAGTAGATGAACAAGACTGTGCAACCTTATCACTATCTAATTCTAGAACATTTCATCACCTCAAAAAGAAGCCTCATACCAATGAGCATTCACATCTCCATTCCCCCCTTCTTTGAGCCCCTGGCAACCACTAATGTACTTTCAGTCTCTGGATTCATTCTGGGCATTTCATATGTATTGGAATATGTGGCCTTTTGTATCTCGCTTCTTTTAGTGAGCATGATGCTTACTAGGCTCGCTGTATGTAGCATGTATCAGTATTTCCTTACTTTTTTATGACTGATTAATATTCTGTTGTACAGATACACCACATTTGGTTTATCCACTCTCAGTTGATGGACATTTGGGTTATTTCCACCTTTTGACTATTGTGAATTGTGCTGCTTTGAACATTTGTGTAAAGTTTTTGTGTGGCGGTATTTCATTTCTCTTGGTTATGTACTTAGTAATGGAATTGCTGGGTCATATGGTTTACTGACATTTAACTTTTTGAGGAATTGCCAAACTGATTTCCAAATGGCTGCACCATTTTACACTCCCACCAGCAATGTACAGTATGTTGCGTTTCTCCACACGCTCTCCAACACTGTAATTGTCTTTTTTTTTATTTTGCGATTTTAGTGGGTGTGAAGTAGTGGTGTCTCATTGTGATTTTCAACTCCCTAATGAGTAATGATGCTGAGCATTTTTCTCGTGCTTATTGGCCATTTGAACATCTCTTTGGAGAAATGTCTATTTAAATCCTTTTCCCATTTTTAAGTTGGGCTAGTGGTCTTTTTATTGTTGAGTTGTAAGTGTTCTTTACATATTCTGTATACTAAACCCTTATCAGACATGTAATTTGCAAATATTTTTCTCCCATTCTGTGGGTTGTCTTTTCACTTTCTTGATAATGTCCTTTGCACAAAATTTTAAAATTTTGATGACGCTTCCTTCAACTTCAGCTGGTCAGCTCTACGTTGACATGAAAGGCTGCTGCCCTGGGGCAAGCAGGAGGCAGCAGGTGTGTCCTGAGGGCCCCTAGGAAGGAGCTGAACACAGCCTTAGCTTAGCCGCAAGTGTCAGCATCACGTGTGTCATTTTGAGAAGGAAGGGATGCAGGGTATGGGCTCTCCAGGCCAGTGGTTTTGAGAATTGGGTCCTAATTTGGGTGCCCTTATCGCAGGATCTGTTACCAGAGCCCTGCTTCTTTGCCTTGCCTCTGATGTATATAATAATAAGTATGTGTTGAATCAATGAATTAATAAATGCTTGGAACTATCAGAGTTTATGAATCTAGATAAGTATCATTATTTTCATTGTGAATGGACTAAGCGCATCCCTTACATCCTCTTCCCAGTGCTCCCTTTTATAACAAATGTTTTTTATGCCCTCTTCAAAATCGTGCATTTAAATTTATCGATGATATAACCTCCTACACCAGTAAGTTAAAAAAAAGAAGCGAATGAAATGACCTAACAGTATAAAGAAGAAATTAAAAGATAATTTATAATAAAATAGTATTTCAAAAAGTGCCTGCTCAGGCACAGCAGCCTTAGAAGATAGAATGAAAGTTAGATGCATAAGCCAGCAAACCCAATACAGGTGCATGGTTGGCAACTCAAATTCTATAGTGTTTCGATTAGGTGCAGATTAATGGTTCTCAAACTTCATTGAGCATCAGAGTCACCCAATGGCTTGTTAAAACACAGATTGCTGGGCCTCATCCCCGGCACTTCTGACTCAGTAGATTTGGTGTGAGCCTGAGAATTTGCATTCTAACAAGTTCCTGACTGATGCTGCTGCTGCTGGTGTGGAGACTTGGAGAACCACTGCTATAGGCAGTGTGATTTTTTTTCCAAGGTAGTTGGCAACTGATAAACTTCCAAACAAACTAAAGTACAGTTTCCTTCAACTTACAGAGTAGTTGTATTCCTGGAAAATTATGCCCAAACCATGCACAAATTTCTTTGTTTGCATATAAAATGGAGTTACAGCTTCTAGGCTCACATAGTTCTTACTGTGTGGAACTGTCCTGCATTTTGTGCCCCTGGCTCCTGCTCACGAAATGACAAGAGTGCCTCCTGATCATTGTGACAATCAAAAAAAGCCCCCAAACTTTCCCAGACACCCTTTACAGGCAGTACTGCCTCTATTGAGAACCACTGATTTATAGGATTTGTAGCTGACAGACTTCTAATTTGTGATTTCAGGGTCAAGCTCAAGGCTTTGTGCCTTTGAGCACACAAATGGGCACCACTTGAAAAATCAGTCTTTGAGGAGTTTTTTGATATTCTGTCATAGCGCAGTGAGGGATCAAAAGATGAAAAAGATTAAGAAAATGGCATCTATTTTAACAGCTAATTTTTACATGCAAATATATGTGTATATATTTATACTTATATAAAGTCTTTATGTTTAGTCTGTAGACATTTTCAAAAATTAAGCATCTTCTCTTAGAAGTGATTCTCACTTTGAAAACATTTTTATGGGGAAACAAGACATCATTTTGATTGCTAACATTTATATTTATAGGACTAAAACCCTCCATAATGGAATGTGGGTGATGTACCTTTTCCTCCTTAGAGGCAGGTGTCTGATTGAGTTCCACTGATCCTCCTCTACTTAGTCCCCACGGGTACTCATTTCAGATTTTAGGGAAGTGAAGTGTTCAGCCAGTGTCAGTGTTCATGTAATGGAAATGTGCTTCCTCATTCTAACCAGATTTGACTTGTCTCAGAGTACAATCTTTAATGCAAAGTTGGATTGTGTTTTGAAACTAAAACAGCAACAATCACCAAAACCTTAACCTCTCCTGTGCCATGATTTTGTCTAATTGGATCAACGCATTTGTTTCCTGAAATTCAGCACAGAGCCTAGCATATAATAGACCTTCATTAAATATTTGAATGAATGACTATGGATTTTATAAACATTAATTAAGTTCTCTAGCACCGGAGTAAGAAGTAAACTGATGTTGGCATTTTGAGTTTCTTATTTCACAGGTATAGAACATATTTGTTTGGTTTAAATATTGAAAAATCACTGATTTATATACTTTTAACCATTTCAGGGTGGATTCATGCTGTGCTCACTTCTCAGGACTGTATGGCTTTTGGGGGGAACTTCCTGCACAACCTGAACATCGGCATGCAGCTCAGGTTTGTGTCATCAGTATTTAAAGGCTCTCTTGGCCTTTGTTAAATTGGACATTGTTTAAAAATGTCAAAAAAATAAATTCAATAATATATTTTAGTTGAGATCTCATGGAGAATAGGTCCTGAGAAATTACTAGGAATAGGAACTTTTAACACAACTGTTGTCTTAAAATTTTGTCGGGGACACCTTGATGCATTTCAAATCTAAAACAAATAATAATTTATTCGGTTTGAGACTAAATATATCCCCAGATTTCAAAATTTTATAAAAATGTGTGGGCTCTCTTTTGGCTATGTTTACAATGAGGGAAATGAACTAAATCCAGTCAGACTCAGGTATGACATAAGGTGCTGGGGAACAGCAGCCCTAGGTTAGGATAGCTGTCATTTTAACACCTACTTGAATTTTGCTGTGTTAAAGGATTAACAGCTAGCTCCCTTTCTGTGTGAGAATTTGTCCTTTTAGTAACTCTGTGCTTCTGGTAGCCTAATGTGAGTAGAATGTTAGTAGGCAACATTGCTTATGATAAAATGATTCCTAATTGATAAGCTGCATCAGGACTGGGAGAACTAGAAGTACCTAGTACGAAGACATATTTGGGCTTTCTTGAATGTGGTGACTCTTATAACTTGGTTTGCCCACGTGGAACCCTGGATGCTATTTGTCTATGCAGTTATTACAAGAATTACTGGCTCTGTGGGCCATGAAGCTTTAAGCCAGGGCAGCTCCCACACCTGCCAAGTGTGAATCTTGTTGCTTTATACCTGAGATGTCCCTGGCGGAAATCTGGCTCCTGGCTGGCCTCCCACAGAAGACTAACACTGTGGCAAGCTCTTGTTCCGTCTTCTCCTTGATGAGCGCCAAGTGTGGTCTTGAATTCGAATGCTGAGTAGACCCTAAAGCAAAGCTGAGTGGGTGTTGCAGTGTTGTCCAACACATGGAGTTGACTTCTAAACATATTCTTTTTTTTTTTTTTTTTAAGATTTTTATTGGGGAATTGGGGGGATGGGAACAGTGCTAGGGAATTGGGGGAAGGGGAACAGACAAGTTGCTGTCGTTTTGTTCTTCAGTCTAGTTGTGGAGGACGTTGCTTCACTGGCCCAAGTTGGCACCATCATTGCGCTCTTCCCAGGCGAGGCAGATCAGTCGCTGGCTTCTGGACGGCTGTTCACTGTGGCTGCTGGCTGCTCACACTGGCTGCTGGCTACACACGGCCCATGGCAACCCACTGCCATAGGGGCTGCAGCCTATGCCGTCGCCAGTGACTCACGGCAGCCCAGCTCCAGGTTGAGCTGTTGTTCAGCATCTTAGCTGTAGAGGGCAGTGTCACTGGCCCTCATGTGGGATCCCAACCGGGGCCCTTTGGTGTCCCAAGCCAGTTCTTAACCGTCGCGCCACTTGGCCAGCCCATAAAATTCTTTTATTTATTATAGTGGAACACTTGTACAGTTGCTTCCATTAAGACTACGATACAAATCCCAAGGCATGATATTTTTGAAGGCCAATGTAATTCTTCATGATACTGTCAAATTTGTTAAAGTCAGACCTGGATAAGATCACAATTCAGCCTTACTCAAATATGGTGCTAAGTAATATACGGTACTTGATTGGTCTTACCTGTCATGGCCTGCTTATTTTATTTTTCTTAAGTTGGTTGCCTCCATTTAACTTTGAAATGCTAGTATTAATATTAAATTTCTTCAAATTGTATTTCTTCAGGTGTTATGAGATGGAAAAAAGGCTGAAAACACCAGATCTTTTCAAATTCCCTTTCTTTGAAGCCATATGTTGGTTTGTAGCCAAAAACTTGCTGGAAACCCTGAAAGGTAATTAATAATCTGTACATTACGTTGTGTGATATGCATATGCATATGTTTGTAAATTCACTAAAAGCCACTGATAGAAAAAGAGGCCCTTTTTTAGTATGGTATGGCCTTTGCCCCTATTTTGGGTTTTAAATGCTCGATTTCTCCCTGCCCGGAACCTCCTTAGCAAATGAGAGTCTAGTCTATAAAGCAGTTCTATGAAGAGCTGCATCAGAACAGGTAATATTTTAAAATGTTGATTTCACCAGGGGCTCTGGTTGCCCGCACACATTGTCGGCCATATCAAGTGCCTCACTTGTGAAAATGCAGTTTCAGCCCAGAGACTGTTATGTAATATGTGTTCCCAAATATTTGCTTTTAAAAATCAAGGGAGTAATGTTCATGTCCTGAGAGAATCAGTAGTGCCTGTGCCATCATCATTACGGCCCATTATGCTGGCCGGCATGAGGTACTTATTAGCACAAACCAGCTGAAGGTCAGGGTATGAGTCTGTAGTTGAAGAAAAGTGGTTTTTGGTTTTTTTTTTTTGTGGGGGAGAGTAGTAATATGCCTTTATTTAAGCTTGAAAGTTAACCTCCTTTGTGTGGAATTTCAGATTTTGATGCTTTATCTTTTGGCTTAATAATCTTTGAGTGGTCATGTTAGAAACTGAATGTACCCTTTTACCCATTTTTTTTGCTTTTCATGCACTTACGCATGTGAGAGTACAGTCATCTTGTTTTTGTATGGTCTCACTTTTCAAGTCAATTTGCAAATAGTGCTACTATCATATTAACTCATAAAAGAACCAGATATAAGCATATAAACAGATTAGACAGTAAAGTCTAAACATTTGTTTCTTTTTCCATTGAAAAGTTACACAATAAGAAAAGGTACAATGAAAAGAAACACCACTAACTTACTTCCCAGGACTGCATGCACAGAATTCAATAATAATATGTATTTATGGTTTCTTTGTTCAAAAAAAAAGGGAGGGGGGTCACTCTTTTTGGAAGGTAAGAGTAACAGAACCCCATCCACCCCTTACAACTCAGTGCTGTAGGTGTCTGTAATGGGGAAGTAGGGTCCCATGGATGAGGAAGAACAGGTGCTTTCTGCACGAGACCATCTCTGCTCCAGAAACGCACCCTTATCCTGAGTCCGTGAATCGTTTAGTGTTTCCAGGTATTTTTCTATGGTCACCATGGACCACAGAGTTGCCATATATAGTTTCAAGTAAAATATTGAACTTTCAAAATTCATAGTCTCCTGTCCAACTAGAAGCCTAGAAAAATAGGAACACTTTTAAATCCTTATAAAAATGTTTATAAATGTTCTTGTTTTCTGGAAAACCCAATTACTGAACCCTCCAGATTAGAGACTGGTAATTCAGTACTCAGTAAGTTCAAAGCACTTTTTTCATGTTTTCTCTTCTCAATATCTCTCTCTCCCCCTCCCTACACACACACACACACACACACACACACACACACACACACACACACCCGTGATGCTTTCTCCCTGCTGCCTAAGAGGGGCTTATCAATCAAGCTTCTAGAACAAATTAAGAATTTATCTTAAAGCAAATCTTGCCATCCTTCTTGCAGCCACAAGCAGCAGATTACTTAGTCGTAGAATAACAATTTAGCCTTTGTTTTGGGCAATTGAGAGTTTAGAACTGTTGAGGTCTGATCCAAAACATAACTCTATACATTAAAGACAAAAAAAAAATATTATTGTAAAAGGATATTTATAGGTCAAGTTTTAAAAGGCTGTTTCATCAGCCAGATCAGTACAGGATACCTGGCAATACTGGTGTGTCAACCCAATCCCACTAGCTAGAGCCAAATTACCATTACACTAGTGGCTGTTAACCTTGGCATTCATCCTGGAATCAGGAATGGTGGTCTCTGTTACCCTGTGTTGCATTGTCTTTTCATCCCTGACCTGTTAACTTTCCACCATGGCCTATTATTTGCCAGCTCTCAGACTGTTTCTGTAGGCTTATATGGAGGGTTAAATGAGTGTGGGTTGTACGAAACTCTTGTGTTTAGTGTCAATAATAATAAAACAATGAACCAACTTTGCATTCATGTAAGTAAATTAGCCACAGGGCAGAAGTGAAATCTTTCATTTTTGCTTCAACTTATCCTGAGTTGTAGACTACTTCCAACATTTTATGTGAGTTTTAGATAATCAATTTGGTTAAAAAAACCTAGAGAAGATGCGTACGCTCATGTGCGTGCGTGTGCGTATTTACTTTTACAATAGTGAAGTGTATGTCATACCCATAGTGGATTGTATAGATTGCACGCTGCATACACATACATCTCATATAGTTTAAAGAATTACAAGACTGACACTCAGGTCACCTCTACTTAAGGTGAGCAGAAACGTCCTTGCCAGTACTCTCGTCATGCCTGTTATCTTTCTCATTGCACCCTCCTCCTTCCCTCCTAGACAGAACCACTATCCTGACTTTTGTGATAATCCTTTTCTTCTGTCACCTGTGTCACAAACTAAAATAGTTGAATTTTGTCCATTCTTAGATGTCATATGAATAACTTCCTACTGACATTCTTTCGTGGCCTATTACTCAACATAATATTTGTGAGCCTTCTTTTAACTGGAGCATTTTTTACAACTACATTTAATGTAATTTTCTTTTTCTTTTGATTGTTTAATCGATTGTTTATTTCATGTTTTTCCTCTCTATTAATTTGGAAGTTGTGCAGTTTGATATTTGCTGGTTGCTCTAAAGCTAATCCCTTTGTCTTCACAACAGCTAACTCCTTTCCCTGTTCCTCTTCTGTTCCCACAGAACTGAGAGAAGATGGTTTCCAGCCTCAAACTTACCTAGTACAGGGCGTGAAAGCACTGCATACTGCTTTAAAACTATGGATGAAAAAAGAAGTAAGTAGTTTTCTTTGGTGAAATGACTGTTACTTTTTATATGGCAACGTCAGGAAAACAGTCCTTAGCTGTTGTGGCAGCATGTGAGTAGCTGCAGTAGAGGGAATGGAAATCATGCTTTAAATACAACTTGCATTTTTATTTTACAATATGTACAAATGTATTGATTTGTGTTTGTATTTATGAGAATAAAGTACCTCAGTATTTCTCTAAGCTGGAAAAGAAAGTAATTCAAATATATCTAGGGTATTGACTAATATCTTTGAACTCTCATAGTATGCTCACCACTGTGCTTAGGCTTTATATCCATAACCTCATTTAATCCTCAAAGCGACCATATGGGGTCTGGGTGCGGTTGTTATCCCCATTTTACATATGGGGAAGCTGCAATTCAGAGAGTAACTTGCCCAAGGTAACTGATGGAGCTAGGACTTAAAGCTAGGACTCTAGGATTTCAAAGCCTATGCTCTTATCCCTCTGCTAGACTTCTGTAAAAAACGAAAGAAAAGGAGGTCCAGGTTCAAGCAGGAGCTTTCTGCGCTCACTAAAATGTGGTCTAGTTGTTTGCATTTGAATCCCACCTCCTCCCAAGAGGTCATCCCAGATCTCCATTTGGAATTAGCATGTCCTTCCTTTATGCTCCATAGCATATTTCTTGTGCCAGTGGATTGGGATTATTTCAGTGCCTGTGTTTCCCTTTACAACTCCTTATGTACTGTGAATTAAATGTTCGTTTTCATTAGTTACTTCACTAATTATAGTAGTAGTTAGAAATAGAGTGGGCTTTGAGGTATAGAGTACAAGGTTACTACTCAGCGATTCTCTGAGACAAGTCTATCCTTAACGCAGCCTAAGAAGATTTTATAAGTTAAGGAGAGTCTCCTTAGGCTCTCATGAATTTATGAACTACATGAACTCTGAGGCCTGCCTTATTAGTATTTAGCTATGTCTTTAAAATCTAGAGAACCCAAAAATTGGTTTAGATAAATTAATTTTTACATATTAAAGTGTAAATAACTTTGGTTGTCTTGTCTTTGTTAACCCAAATACAGCTTGTATCTGAACATGCCTTTGAAATTCCAGACAATGTTAGACCTGGACATCTTATTAAAGAACTTTCTAAAGTAATTCGAGCAATAGAGGTAAGATTTGAAACTGTCATCTAAATGCCTGGTTACTGTCTGCTTTGAGAAGCAAATAGATCTACCACCAGACTACAGACATTTGAGCACTCTTATGCACTTAAAAAAAAATAGAATGAGCTAAGTCTTAGAACGTTTCAGGTTTTCAGGCTTCTGAAATTGTAGAGAGAAATTTAGAATATTGTGTTATAATAAAGTAATAAGGAAGCAGTTACCAGGTTGCTTCAGGTTACTCTAAAAATAAAAACTACAGAATAAATAAAATGTTCAGATCCAGTTCATTTCAGCTATCTGGAGATGAACACATGTTGAATAATTAGATAAAGAGAAATGTAAGGTGAGCGAGTCAAGCTAGGTGAAGCTGGGTTGGAAAGCGGGATTACTGGGGTGGGGCAAGGAGCTCCACTTGGTTGGAAATATTAGAACAACTTGGTTAGGTACATGCCCTTTAATAAAAAACCACAAAATCTGAGATTAGGTATTTTAATTTATTAATTAGGAGCTATTCTAGGTATTAAAGGAGTTTTCAATTAAAGTAATTATGCAGGAATGTGGTTCTATTAGTGTCTAGTTTGAACTGAAAGGAAATTAAGTGGAGAAATGAAGGCTAACTGGTAATTTAACAGCTTAAATAAGGTCTGTGTTTGGGGAATTGAAAGAGGGATACATCTAAGAAAAAGGGATATATCTAAAATGCTGGGTTTAATATTTTTGGACAGAATAGTTCATGTAATTCTCAATATGTCCAGATATGGTAGAAAAATGTTTTGCTTTTTTAAAGTGATAATTACATGTAGATTTCAATTTAAAAGTCACATATGTAATCTTAAATATATATCTTAATGTATAATAAATATATAAATATCGTGTAACAACCCAACCTAAGAATAAACTCAAGAGAGTTGTGGGTCTATTTGAAAAACTATAAATCTTTACTAAGGGAAGTAAAACAATAGTTAATTAAATGGGGATGTCACTTCTGAAATACATCAACCCCAAATTAATATTACAAATTTTAAATGGTGAAATATACCTGGAAGAATAGTTGGACAAAAATAGCCAACATAGTATTTTTTTTTTTCATTGAAGGGTAAGGAGTACAGATGGCAGCAAGATGTCCAGTAGAAAAATGTGCAAAGAAAACATAGTTATTTCACTAAAGAAATAAAAATGGCCAATTCAATAAAAATATGAGAAATATTCTCAAAATGTGAAAAGTATTTAAGCACATTTTGCCAAATAATTTATGATTTCATATGATCATTTATCAAATGGGCAAAAATAAAATTCTGTATTTGAGCCCTGATGGTAGGAGCGTAGATTAGTTTACGCTTTCTGAATGTTATAGCCCTTGACCCAGCAACTTCACTTTAATAAGGCAAATATGAAGATTTCAGTTAAACTTGGTAGGGTGAACATACTTGCTTACCACGATCACCTCTTGGGACCAAATGATAGTAAAACAGCAAAAAAAAGACATCCCCCAAAATAAAGAGAATAATACGATGAAGATTCTAACAAAGTTTTGGAAGCTGGAAAGGAAATGTACAAGTGGTAACTGATTTAGCAGACCAAGTAGCCGGCACCTGTGTTGGCAGTGGGCAGGACCAGGAGCGGGTCTTGTTTGTACAGAACCCTCAAAAAGCTCAGGAGTTAGGGACACTAGCACCCTCTGAATATGAGAGTGGAGATGAGACCAAAAACAGGATTGATTAAAGGTCTATTTAAGACACGAATTGATCTCCAAATCCCAGCCTTAACACATGCAGAAAACTAGAGGTTTAATTGTTTGAGAAGTTAAACTTGAGACTGTGAACGTTGGGACACTGAGTCTAGCTGAGGGAGATGGGTGTTATATTGAAAACAAGAGCATTAAGTGACAGTCTACACAGTGAATGATTCCTCTTTCACTTGGCTCCCAAAACACTGGCATTCTGGCCTCTATCTCCCAGGCCAAGAAGATGGTCCACTGATACTCACAATTTGAAACCTTCCAATGGAACAACCCAGACAGATCCCTACAGTAAAACTCACCACTTGACAAAGCCCCTCTCACACAGAGTTCCCAATTCGCTTTTTTCTTCTTCCATACAGTGAAATGTACAGATCGTAAGGAACAATTTGAGTTTTGACAAATGTATACACCTGTATAGCCAAGATTCCAATTGAGATATAAGTTATTTTTATCACCCCAGAAAGTCCTTAATTGCCCCCATCTAGCGAATCGTTGAATACCGTAGGCCACCACTGTTCTGACTTGTGTTGCTTCCATCATAGATTTTTGTCTGTTCTTCAATTTCAGATAAAGGCAGTTGTTGAGTATATATTATGTTGGTGTCTGGTTTCTTTCACTCTCCTTATGCTTTTGAGATTCATTCATTCATGTTGTTGCATGTGTTAGTAGTTTTATTGCTGAGTGGTACCACTGAAAGAATATACCATAATTTGTTTTCTATTCTTCTGTTGATGGATATTTGGATTATATGCAGATTTGGCCATTATGCTCATATGTCTTTTGTGTTAAATATATGTTTTCATTTTTCTTGGATAAATACCTAGGAATAGAGTTGTTCAGTCACAGGGTAAGTGAATTTTAACTTGGTGAGAATCTGCCAATTTTCCAAAAATGGTTGTTCCATTTCAGATTTTACACTCTCACCAGTAATATGTATTGTAATTATTCCACATCCTCACCAATATTTGGTATTGTCAGTCTTTTAATTTTTGCCATTCTAGAGAGTATGAAATATTATTTCATTGTGGTATTTACTTGAATTTTCCTGAATATTAATGATGTTGAGCACCTTTTCACGTGCATGGAATTTTTGTATCTTCTTTTAGGAGGTATCTATTTGAAGTTTTTGACCATTTAAAAAATTATGTTGTTTTTTAATTTATTTTTAGGGAGTTCATTATATATTCTGGATAAAAGTTCTTTGTCATTTGACAAGCATTTATTCATATATATATATATATATATATATATATATATATATATATAAAATAGTTAATATTTTACCCACAACCTGTGGCTTATGGCTTATCTGTTCATTATCTTTAAGGTATCTTGATGAGCAGAAACTTTTAATTTTGAAGTTCAATTTATTAATTCCTTTTCTTTTATAGTTAGTGTTATTTTGTGTCCTCGTTAAGAAATCTTTGTCCACCCCAAGGTCTTGGAAAAACTTTTTTTTTTTTTCCTTAAAGGATTTACATTTAGGTAAATGGCCAATCTTGAATTTTTGTGTATAGCATAAGGTAAATCAAGACATTTCCCCCATATGTTTATCTACTTTTCTTAGCACCATTTGTTGAAAACAATTTTATGTTTAATGCTTTCTTTTAAAATGTGTAGAGAGCCCAGAAGAGTTTTGAAGACACAGCCAAAAATAAAGGAGAAAAAGTATTCAAAGGAAACAATAAATAAGTCTTCAACCCAAAACCCAAATATATTTGATACCCTCAGGAGAAAAAAGTAAATATTGCCTCTATGAAAAAAGTACAGGAGGCTATTACAAAGGAACATTGAAAGAAGAAAGAAAAGAGGTTCTTGGAAATTAGAAATATAATTGAATGGTTGGAAGATAAAGTTGGGAAAATCTCCCATAAAGTTAAAAAAAAAAGAAATAGGACAGAAAAATTAGAAGGTCATTTTATACAGTCATCGGAATAATAGGAGCTCCAGAAAGAACTAACAGAGAAAATAAGAATATTATCAGAGGAATAATCAAATAAAATGTTTTATAATTCAAGGACACATCTTCCCAGATTGAGAGCCCTACAAAATGCCTAGTACAGTGGGTGAAAAAATCTATGCCAAAACACATCATGGTCAAATTTGAGAATACATATAATAAATATATTCTAAAAAGTGTTAGGGAAGATGGTGTGGGTCATATACAAAGAATTAGGAATCAGAATAATATCAGATTTCTCAACAGCACTGCAAACTAGAAAACAGTGGAGCAGTCTTTTACATTCTGGGCTGGGGGTTGCCAACATACAAGTCTGTATTCAGCCACGCTGAATCAAATATGGTGAAACAAAGATGTCAGAGAGGCAATATCTCAAAACATGTACCTCCCATGTGCCCTTTCTCAGGAAACTAAGAGAATGTGCTATCCCAAAAAAGAGGGAGTAAACCAAAAAAAGAAGGAACCCTAGAGTTCATCTTTCAACAAACACAGAGTACCTACTGTGTGCTGTGAACCGTCTAGGTAGGATGGGCATAGAGCAGTGAACAAAACAGGCCCTGCCCCATGGAACTTAGCAGGAAGAGGCTAGCCTTAAGTATTTTAATATATCAGGAATTGACAAGTGCTATAAAGAAAAATAAAGGAGGTGAAAGCTTAGAGAGTGATGGCTAAAGATGGTGGTGGGGTCTGCAGTTTTATGTGGTGCAGTGGGAACAGGTCAGAAAAGGTCTTTGATGACCTGTGTAGGCCCAGAGAGCAGCCAGTCCAGGATGGATCAGGAGAGTGAAAGGCTCCATATTTGTTGTTTATCTGAAATTGAAACTTAACTAGGCATCTTGTACTTTACCTGGCAATCCAATCCAGGAGGGATGTCTCCAAAGAAAAATACAAATTCCACAGATTACCTAATGTGTTTGAATGTTTGCATTCTTATAGTGGAGAATTTTGGGATCAGTTAGTGATAAAGACATGGAAAACAAGCTGATGGAAAGTGAGGCAATTATAAAAGGAAAAACTCAAAAGGATGTAAAGGAAAGGAAATGTAATAATAATATGTGGCTCTGGGTTGTAAATAATTTTTACTGAGTCAATTTAAATACTGAATATTAAAGGAAGAGGCAGTATGTGTACATTCAGGAGAGGTATGCAAGGCATAACACTTCATCTTGCATAGTAGGAATTCAGTGGTATCTAAAGTTGCAAAACCAAGAAATAACAGTAGAAACATGTTATTTAGAAATTTAATAATTGGGAAAGCAAAAACAAAACCCAACAACAAAAATAGCTACAAAAGTTGCAAGTGCTGAGTTTATGCCCAAAAGAATTAAAAGCAGGGACTCAAACAGATATATGCACATGCATGTTCATAGCAGCATTATTCACAGTAGCTGAGGTGGAAGCAGCCCAAGTATCCATCACATACGAGTGGATAAACACAATGTGGTCAATACATACAATGGAATATTCAGCCTTAAAAAAGGAAATTCTGACACATGAATGAACCTTGAAGACATTAGGCTAAATGAAATAAGATAGTCACAAAGGGACAAATATTGTATGATTCCACTTATATGAGGCTCTTAGAATAGTCAGATTCATAGAGACAGAAAGTAAAAGGTGGATGCCAGGGGCTAGGGGTAAGAAGGAATGGGGAGTTACTGTTTAGTGGGTACAGAGAGTTTGGGAAAATCAAAAAGTTCTGTAGATAGATGGTGGTGATGGTTAGACAACAATATGAAACGTACTTAATGCCACTGAACTCTATACATAAAAATGGTTAAAATGGAAAATTACGTATACGTTATCACCTAAGTTATGTCCTACAAAATTATGTGTATGTTAACAACAGTTTTTTAAAAAGTTGCAAGTGGTTGCCGCTGAACAATGGGAATTGGGATGGGGAAGGGATGGAGAAGGGAATTGGGATGCTATGCTTATAGAATTTTAATTTTCAAAACTACATAGGTGTGTGACTTTGCTTTAATAAGCAATTATTGACTTATGCAACTATGTAAGTAAAAGAATGTTCATCATCACAAAGAACTGGAAACAGCCTAACTAGCTACCGTAAGGATGAGGTCACTCAGTTACGCTATATCCATACAGGGAAGTGCTGCACAGCCTTTAAAGTGATAGAGAAAATCAAGGAAATATGTTCACAGTACGTTACATGGGGGAGAGAAGGAAATGAAGGTCTCAGTGAATCTTGGATGATTTGTTCTTTTTGTTTATGTAATTAAATTGAGTAGTTTTTGTTTTCTAAAGTATTTTTATGGCTGATTATTCAGTCAGGCATGTATATAGCCTTGTCATAAAAATATTCTGAATTCTTAAAGGAGGAAAACGGCAAACCCGTTAAATCTCAGGGAATTCCTACTGTGTGTCCAGTTTCAAGATCCTCAAATGAAGCAACTTCCCCATACCATTCCCGACGAAAGATGAGGAAACTTCGAGATCATAATGTTCGAACTCCTTCTAACCTAGACATCCTGGAGCTCCACACAAGGGAGGTCCTCCGAAGATTAGAGATGTGTCCGTGGGAAGAGGCAAGTGTTACGTTTCATGATTCCAAAAAGAGACTTGGCTGCTCCTTGAAGTTCTTTAAAAGGATAATGAAAACAGTCTGACCATTCTCAGTCTCTGACCTTTGCTTATTTCGCATTGTAGGGGTGGGGTCAACAGTACTTATGCCTGTGATGGGGGCGGTGCTTCAGCTTTCTGGGCATTGGGGTGGAAGTAGGATGACTAGATCTTATTCATTGGCTGACATGCTTATTGAGTGTTTCCTAAGTGCCATGCTCTCCTAAGCTCTGGAGGAGATACCAGAGTGAGTAAACTTTAGTCCCTACCTTTGTGTAGCTTCCATCCTAGTTCAGGTTGGAAGGATGGGAGGCAGGGACGTATGTTTAAAATATATAATTTCAGGTAGTAAGTGTTATAAAGGGACCCAAAACAATAGAGCAGTAGAGTAAAGGGGCTTGGGATGGCCAGCTACTGTAGCTGCTCAGGTGGTGACATCTGAACTGACACTTAAATAATGGGAAAAAACCAGATGAATACACAGATTTGAGGCAAAGTATTGTGAGCAGAGGGACGAACAACTGCAAAAAACCTATCCCTGACCCAACAGCATCACATGGGTGACAGGGAGACTGGGAGACTTAGAATAAACTCATTAAAGCTTGAGAAGTGCTGGCTAATGGACAGAGGGGAGAGTGGGGGATGGGAGCAGTAACAAGATCAATGAAGGGCCTTTGTAAACATGGTAATGAGTTTTCTGTGTGAGCCGTATTATCCATAGTTTTACATCTTAAGTAGAGTAGAGGCATAACTTAAAATGAACAAGATAGAGGGTCGGCCGAGTGGCGCGTTGGTTAAGAGCTGGCTTGGGACGCCAGAGGGCCCCGGTTCGGATCCCACATATGAGGGCCAGTGACACTGCCCTCCACAGCTAAGATGCTGAACAACAGCTCAACCTGGAGCTGGGCTGCCGTGAGTCACTGGCGACGGCGCAGGCTGCAATCCCTGCTGCAGTGGGTTGCCATGGGCTACCGTGTGTAGCCAGCAGCCACTGTGAGCAGCCAGCAGCCGCAGTGAGCGGCCATCCAGAAGCTGGTGACTGATCTGCCTCGCCTGGGAAGAGGGCAATGATGGTGCCAACTTGGGCCAGTGAAGCAACGTCCTCCACAACTAGACTGAAGAACAAAAAAGACAGCAACTTGTCTGTTCCCCTTGCCCCAGTTACCCAGTGCTGTTCCCCTCTCCCAGTTCCCCAATAAGAAAATCTTTAAAAAAAAAAGAACAAAATAGAGAAATTGGAATTAAAGTACTTAAAAAAATTATATAGAAATTATAACTTCCTTAAATATTATAAATCGTATGTAATTGTATTTATACTGTTTTAAGATTTTGTTGTTATTCTAAACCTCCTTAACCCATGGCCATCTGGGAGAAAATTAAGCATATTATGACATGTTCTATTATTAAAGAAAAAAATTACCTTAAGAAGGAAGTATTCTTCATGAATTAAAAACCAGCTACTGTGGGCCTATGTCACATGGTGGCCTTTGTTCCTAGTGACAGCTGTCTGGTGACCTGTAAGCTGCTGTCTGTGCCTGGTGGGAGGATTAGGCATTAGGTCAAGGATAGTGACTGGGAAGGACCCAGCAGCTAAGTACTTCGTCAGAAAGAAGCAAGGGAAAGAGAATTAGAAAGTACATTAAGGCAGTGTTTCTCCAGCTTTCCAGCTTTTCAGCCCTTCTGCAAGAGTGAAATCTCTTTGAATTTGCTTTATGCAAGCTTTACATTCTTCTTTCTAGAGTGTGTGTTACTGTTGATGGCCCTGCATAGAGAAGAAACACGTTCCTGCTTTGGTTTAGGAAGCATTAGAAACACTGCGTGTTTCTTGGCCAGGCAACAACTGGGGGAGGTGGTACCCTGTATTCCTTTAGTCAAAAAGGCATTTTTGAGGGTGGAGGTTAAATAAGTTCTCTTTTTATACTTTAAGGACATCTTGAGCTCTAAACTGAATGGAAAATTCAACAAACATCTCCAGCCATCTTCCACGGTACCTGAATGGAGAGCGAAAGATAATGATCTACGATTACTGCTGACAAATGGGAGAATAATTAAGTATGTCAACCAGATCAGAGTATCAAACAGATTAGTTCCCAGGGGATTCCCTCTGTTCACTTAATCCCTAGTCCATACTATTGCCCAGCTGGCTGAAATATGGGGAAAGTGTCTCAATGTCCACCCTCTCTGCAAATTAAGGGGACAGAGGGTCCTGTTTGGCTGTAGAGTTGCTCTATTTTCTGATGATTATTTTTCTCCTGATATACAGAGATGAAAGACAACCCTTTGCAGATCAAAGTCTTTATACAGCAGATAGTGAAAATGAAGAGGATAAGAGAAGGACAAAAAAGGCAAAAATGAAGATAGAAGAGAGTTCAGGAATAGAGGGGGCGGAGAATGAAGAATCTCAAAAACCACTTAACAGTATGTTTGTTTTAATGGTCATTTTAAAGGCCTGTTCATTACTAATGTGATAATATGTGAAGTCACGTGCTAATTTTAAAGTTCTTAAATTCATAGTAGGATTGAAAATGCTTGTATTTCTAGTACTTGTTTGAGAAATCAGTATTTCTGAGTAGTTTAGGCAGCAGGGAAATGCTGAACATGAATGCCAAGTGGTGTAGAGCACAGGGAAGGTGTTATTGATGGGACATATGTGGGTCAGTGAGTTTTTACAAGAGTCACATGAAAGCTCATGCATTTTTTGGGCCTCTAATCCAAATAATAAAACAGTTGCATGTTTAATGCAATTTCATAAGTAACTTTAGCTATCATGTATGTGGTTTTCAGCATTAGGAGACATATAATTAATTGGCTGACCTGAAGCTATTAGTAATCCATGTATTGTTTTACGATTGTTAACAAGAAGGCCTGTAATTGATTATTAATTGGTTATCATCAGTGTGACAGATAGTAACACCTCCTCCTCTTAGAAATCTTTCTTTGAATAAAGTCTCAATTTCTCACCGTTTTTCAGGGCCTCCATATACCCTACTGTTTTAATCCAGATAATTAATACTATTTAATCTATGTCGAATGTTTGGTATTGCTGTAGTCGGTGACTGTGTATTTGTTCACATGCCGGGGAAAGGTGGCTAATCAATGGAATTCACCCAACCGTTGCTCAGTGGTAATGCATGTGGGAGAGAAGGGCAGTGTTAGGGCCCAGTGTGTAAGTTGGTTGAATTCATTATTTACTTGAATGCTTTATAGGTTTAGGAGAGTTATCTCTTACTTTTCTCTTGAGAGAAATAATGTGAAAGGGAAAGTGTAAAGCATCTTATAGCTTATTTTAATGTTGAGGTTTTTTCTAGAAAGAAATATTAAAATTTGTTCCAAATAAGGAATATATAATTATGTTCAACAAATTTCAGAAATGATTTTAGAATACACTTACATCTATTGGGTTGTTGGAAAAGTCATGCCGAATTTTTGCAATGAAAAACAGAGAAAAAAAATGTCATGACTTTTCCAACAACTCAATATATCCTCGCCACTTAGGGAGAAAGTCCTTGGGGGAAGAAAGAAATGAAGAAGGTATAAGCGTGAAAAAGGAGGCTAGATAGAGCATGAGTGATGGTGACATGAAACTGGACAGACTTTAGTTATCATCCTGTTAATAGAATTCTGATGACTGTCTCTCTCTTCTTCCCGTCCCAGGGTTTTTTACAAGTGTGAAATCAGAACTCAGGAATCGATCATCAGAATATTCTGATATTTCTGATTCAGAAGACTCTGGACCTGATTACACTGCACTGGTAAGCCCCCAAGCCTGTGATTCGTGCATTACCTGATGTAAAGATGAACACCCACTTTCTTTCACCTAGGAGGAAAGTGAATGACAGCTTTTCCCAAAGCCTGACTCTCTCTGACCTTCGTAGCACAAGGTCTTTTTCTATAGTGCTGGTAATTACACATGTGCTCGCATGTACATATCTATGTACGTCCACACACACACACACACACACACACACACACACCATCATGGGACTACATTTGATAAACATAGCTTTTGTCTGATTTTGGAAAGGGTGGAGGGAGATACTATTTTTATGTTTCTCATGTTTCTCATAGGTTACATTTCATTTTACCTTAAAGAAAACCTGTACAGTGTGTTTTTTACTAAGAAATTATGTTACTATAGTTACTAGAGATTTTCACTTTTTCATATGAAATACAGAAATAATTCCATGATAATTAAGATTCTTACTTTCCCTAGATGGATAAAATATTTTTTGCTAGCTTGTCCAGACTTGGTCGGATTTCTTACATAGCTTTGCTTCCATTTAATTATCTCAGAAAAATAATTTTACCACTGAAGAGTCTGAAAGTTCAGGTGATGAAAAGAAACAAGAAATAACATCAAACTTTAAGGAGTCTAAGGTGATGAGGAACTTCCTTCAAAAGAGCCAGAAGCCATCCAGAAGTGAAATTCCAATTAAAAGGTAGGCTTGCTGATGGTAGTAGTCTCATGTCACTGTGATAGAAAGGATACGAAAACTCTTTTAGTTTTAAACTTGACCAAAATGCCATTAGAGTAAATCGGCTCTTTCTGTTTACCTGCTCTTTAGGGAATGTCCTACCTCCACGAGCACAGAGGAAGAAGCTATTCAGGGCATGCTGTCTATGGCAGGGTTGCACTATTCCACATGTTTACAAAGGCAGGTCCAAAGCACAGACTGCAGTGGCAAAAGAAACGCTCTCCAGGACCCCAGCAGCTACCACAGCAGTAACCACGAGGTTAGGCAGCTGTATCGCTATGATAAACCAGTGGAATGTGGTAAGAAGCATACATTATCAGTCTCTAAAAAGTTACCCTTGACCCCCAAATTAATAGCTGTATAATCCCAGTTGAGGTCAGAGATTATGAATAACAACTGTTCGTTGCACATTTTCAGTTAGAAATGGTACTAAGCATATTGGCTAAAAAATACATGATAACAAATTACGTAAGATATAAGTATAAGATCACAAAATGTAGATTAACTGGGATTGAGAGTTGTGTTCACCAGCATAATTTTTATCATTACTATTGAAAGATTGTATTATTTCCCTTTCATAAGTTAATCAGAGTGGAAAGAATGTCGGGTGTTTTAAATGGTCTGCTAAGCTGGAACAAGCAACCTTTTTTTCCTTTCATGGGAGGGAAGACAAGTTTTTAACTGTTTCTGATTGAGGATGTTCTCTTTCCCACTTGAATAGGAAGTATTAGGAAAGAGAGAAGACTTGATGGCAATATCAGTGATGCCACATAGGGTTTTCGTCTCTGTGCCTTTAGTGAAAAATTTTGTTTCCCTAAATGTCTGAGGACTAGGGAGAAGATGGTGTTTTGTTTAAACCAAATGTCTATTATAGCAGTGTGTTTGTTCTCACGTAAATGTCAGTTGTGTACCAAGAGTTTGATATCCATTTCACTTAATTCTTGAAACAACATTTTGGTGTAGGTAATATAACTTTTATAGGTAAAGGAAATAGGATTTAGTGAAGTTAACTTGCCCATACTTATGTAGCTAGTACTCAGTGGTGTTGGAATTTGAACATAGGACTGTTTGATCTCAAAATCTTTACATGTTGTTTAAGAGGAGACTGAGCTTTACAGAGATTAGATAAATAACTTGACCTAAAGATGCATTGGTAATGGAAGAACTCAAATTCAAATCTAGGTCTGTCTGACTCCACCATACCATTCTGTCTCCCTATAATCTCTTTGGTCCCTTGAAAAGAAAGCTTCTGTGGAAATACTGCAAAATTCAGGCAAACATATGCCTTTATTCTGTATGGGAAAATATATCATTTTTAGAGAGTGTGTGCTGCATTTGGTTTTACATCTACAGCAGATGGCCATAGAATTTTACTCTAGGTCTTCTAGTATCTGGCACAAAACCTGTCATATAACGACAGCCTTTGAGAGAATTGAAAGAATTAACATGTAAGATGGCAAGCTGGGGACTGTTTTGTTTTTGAGAGGGGAAGGAATGTGCTGAGTATATGTGAATAAATATTTAAGGCGTTAACTTACTCATTTTTTAATAAAATGCCAACACAAATTTGCTTTCAATTTTAAGCATGTAGCTAACTTTGTTCTTTCAAGATCAAGCTTGTGTGAAGGTAATTGAATTGAAACTTCTCTTTAGGATACCATGTCAAGACTGAAGATCAGGACTTGAGGAGTTCTTCTTGGATTAAACAATTCGATACAACTTCCAGATTTAATTTTCAGGTATAGTCAAGGTTTGATACATTAAAAGGAGGTTTAGAATTGTCATTAATTCTGTTTTTACTTTTTTTTTTTCAACTTCAACTAGTTAACTACTAAATGTAGGAAGGTAAAAATTACAATTAAATGCACATTTGAACAACTACCCATTTTTAGAGATTCTGATATAATGAGTAATGCAAAGCTCATGTGTAAAATGTGATCTTGAAAAAAATAGTTTCTTTAAGGAAGTAGTTAAGAACTATTGTCTGCTAACACCTTTAGGTTATGTCTGGTTAGAATGAAACATGAAAATACCAGAGAATCTCTTTTTAATCTCTGATATTTCTTGAACATTTTTAGATACTAAATTTCTTTGGGAATTAGATGAAAATTACAGATTCTGTTTCCAGAAAAATGTTCATCATAAATACTGAATTTTGCTTATATTTTCTTATGGTTTGTGTCCTACCCCCAGACCCACCCATTGACTCCAAATTAAGAACCCCTGCTCTAAGAGAAGACACTTTATGTCTTAGGATCCCAGCATATTAATGCTTATACCAAACAAAACGAACCCAAAATAATTTTTTTTTAAATAAAACTTTTACAATAGCACGAAGCAAGGAAAGCAATATGAACTTTTGATGCAAATCTTGGAAAATGACAACCAATGAAAGAATCAAAATTCTTATGTGGCAGAGGGGATCCCTAAACCTCCTAGACCCCAAGCATACTGAATAGTGGAATTATGGGTGGTTTTTATTTTCTTTGTTTGGCTTATCTATATTTTCTGAATATTTATCAGTTTTACAATAAGAGCCAAGTTTTTCTTTTTAAGGCAAAATTTTGTGTGTACAAGTTCTTTTAATAGAAGGACATGCTCCAGAGTCTAAGGTTAAGTAAGAAATCCCTTAACTGTTGTAATTCACTCATTCGATATGATTTTATAGTGCCTCACTGTAGCTGGTCATGGAGTTTATTAGCATTAAAAGGATTCAGTGTGAAAAGTAGCTATTACTTAAATCTAGCTGTTGTTTTTATAGTTGTCTTTGAAAATAAAGAAGTAGAGGATGGATAATTAGCTTGGTCACCTTAGAGACAACCAAATATCTTTTGCCTATAATCTAGAGAGAGATTACAGAAAGGCATGTCAAATCCTAACAGTTGTTTCTTCATGCTCAAGCATATTTGTAAGACTAATTGAAAGCAAGTCTGTGTTTAATGCTGTTTTTAAAACTTACTTGACCATTACAGAATCAGAGATATACAGAAAAGGTTGAAAAGAATCAAAGATATATTTTATATCATGCACTCATACACATACAATTAAAACTAGTTTTATGAAACATCATATCTGCAGTGTGCTCTTGTCTTCTCAAGTTTATCTTTTCCTTTCTCATTTTATTTCTGGCCTTGACCCTCTCCATTGATTTCAGGACCCACAAATCAGTAGGTTGGTTTTTTTGCTGACAGTTCACTCAATAATCTTAAAAGACTGAAGAAAGACTTGTTAGAGAAAAACCAGACTTGGGGCTCAGGATCTAGGGATTTTTTTCTTTTTTAGCAAGCTACTTAAATACAGATGAACCTTACAGAAGTTAGGTTCTAAAAACAATAGTATATTCCGCCATAAGAGATACATGATATGGGAACTGTGCCATGCTGAGGAAACAGTAGGTACACGTCTCCCATCGTGGGCTCCTTCCACGGCACAGGCTCACCGAGTTCAGGATGGCTTGTTGAAATTATGTTCATATTCTCTCTCTGCCCCCTCCACCTCCATATATAAAGCTTTCTTCTTGACTTAAGTTATGATGGAATTTCAGTACTTGAATCCTTCAGAGCTGTTAGGTTTGGGGATGAGATAGCCATCAATGAAGGGTGGTCTTCTGTGGCCACTACATGTGAAGAAAACCAAAGTCAGTTGTCTATATCTTCTCTCTCTTGACTTGCTAAATGCATAGAGAGGTTAAATACCTCACTTTTCTCAAAGGAACCTTAAAAATTCAGTAGTTTTCATCTTTCTTCTTTAGGATCTAAATAGAAGCCAGAAGTGCATCAAAAAGGAAGGTTCATCAGAAATGAGTCAGAGAGGACAAAGTAGGAATTCTGTGGACAGCAGTGGTTCAAACCCTCAGAATGGAAAGTATATGCAGAACTCAAGCTCGCTTTCGGGGCCGTGCCAGATGAGTAATGGCAGTGGAAGCCCAGAGAGGCCGCTTGCTGAAACTTCCTTTTCAGTGCCCCTTCACCCCACCAAGAGACCTGCATCAAATCCCCCGCCTATCAGCAACCAGGCAACGAAAGGTAACTTACACTCTGTAGGTTAAGTGTATTTCTGACAGTATATGATGGAGAGAGGGGCAGCCTGATGCACTGTGGGCAGTACAGTGAGCGCAGTGTGTCCTGGTTACTATGGGAACAGCAGAAGGACCCAGAGTGGCTGTCAGGAGGATGAGGCAGCTCCTGAGAAGGATGATTAAGGGGGAAGTGACAGGATAGACAGCACTGAAGGAAAGAGATAGTATGACCCACTGTAGAAAGGTGAGAAACAGTACACGGGGTGTTAGTGAAACTGCAGTCAGAATATGGTTAAGAGCTTCTGTTGAGACAGGCAAGGATCAGACTGTGAGGGGGGTGGGCCACGCACATCCTGGAAGGACCCTGGCCTTTACCCCTCATGCGAGGAGATGGAAGGGTTTAAAACAGTGGGGCTCTAGGAGCATGACTTTGCCCTTCAGAACACCTGGAATCCTTGCTTACCTCATGGCCCTCCCCTTACGTCTTCCAGGTCCTGGATGCCAAGTATGATTTTCATCATTATTTACACTGTTGTTGGTGTTTTATAGGTAAACGTCCAAAAAAGGGAATGGCAACAGCCAAACAGCGCCTTGGGAAGATCCTTAAGTTGAACAGAAATGGCCATGCACGTTTTTTTGTGTGACGGAGCTGCTGTTGGGGCCACTCTTCCCTTTGGAGACCAGTCTCGGGGGTGCGGGCGCCTGGAGCTCCCGTGGTGCGTGTACAGTAGAGAACACTGCCTGAAGAACAAAATGAACCTGATGCTGCATTTTCACTGTGCCACACCCACTCAGCAATAACCATTTGGACCTGGTGGGGGAGAGGAAGAAGGAGGGTAGAACCTTAAAAGGAGACCTTGAACTGGAAAGGGTCTCTTGTCAGGGCTTGAATTTCATTTTGTTGTTGGTAGTGTCTTGATTTATTTTCAGTGGTAGGGTAAAAAATTATCAATAATTTATTTAACAGATTTTTTTTTAAAGTTAACAGCTTTTAAATTCTTTCTTTTTTAAAGCTATTTATTTGGAAGATTTCTGGAGAAATATCTCACTAATTTAGATTTAAGAATGTGAAGGTTTTTAAATTATTTTTGATAGTGTGTGTGTTACATGTGGGGAAGAGCCACGGTAACCGTAACTAGTCTGGACTCTTAAATTTGATATTCAGGTTAAAGTCTTAAACAGGGATTTGATGCATTAATTATTTTAAATTAAGATGTATATGAAAATCATTTTATTTTATATATTTCATGTTTTTTATAAGCTATTAGCTTCGCTTTTGCTAACATCCAAGGTGCATACTGTTATCCAGGTTGACCTTACATCCCACCTTCCCCTCTGCACTCCCCGACGGTTGTGACGTCACAACAAGACTCTTCTCTTTGCAGGGAAACACTTTCATAGCCGATGTGTAAGAGCCACATAAAAGACCCCATATTGCTCATTTCATTTGACATTGCGATTTTCTTCTAAATATAAAAAAGGCTTCTTGCATTTTCATTTTTGCCGATGATATCTGGGTCCCAAAGAGAACAGCTTTAATATCTTTTTCCTACTTGTGGGAAAAATATTATAAGTTTGGTTAAATTGCCATATTTGTAGTTTTTCAAATACATTTGTAACTACAGAGGGCCTTCTTCATACTGCTGGTGTTGGAAGGCAGGGCCAACACCTGCCACAGAGGTTATATTTTACAACACTTTTATTCTGTGTACCTAATTTGTTGGAAAATATGGTTTGACTTAGTTTATTCAAATCTGCATAATAAGCCGTAATATAATAGGACTATACTATATTAATTGTATAGAAGCAAGCATGTTGGAGTAGATATTTTGTGGTGTGTGTGTGTGTGTTTAGTTTTTTATTTCTTAACTTTCTATAGAATTATTTAAGACATGGATTTGGAGTAAAATGGGTGCTTCTTGCAGTTTCTTCCATCTGTCCTAACTTAGCCAGTGTATTTGAGGATAAGTATCTGGTTGATCTTTAAGGTAATCATTATCCCCTTAATTCACAATGTTTACTAAATGCCAGTTGCTAATAATAGCTAATATTTTTCTTTGTTCCCCCATGGCATAAAAATAAATGATTTCTGGGAGTGGGGTGGAGATACTTCCAATGCTGACAATAGAGCATTTTACAAGTTCCTACAAAGAAAACATAGACAAATAAGATCAAATTTATTTTTATGGAGAAGAAATATGGCCATATTATGGACGTGCTTTTTTTACTCAGCAAGGACTTTCCCTTCTGTATTAAGTATCACATGTAGCACTAAGAAAAAGAAATACACCGTCATCTTTCATGGTTGCATTCAAATGTGTATTTTCAAAGAGATATTTCTTACTCTGTCTTCATTCCAGTATTTCATGGAATAAATCTGAAACAGCTTATGAATTAGCCTTTTTTGGTCCAAGTGACTGGACCAAAGTCTGGATCTTTCTGGTGTCAGGAAGAATTTTTATGGAAATACTAAATGTCTATAAGTGGCCTACTTAAACTCTGTCTACATTATGCCAAAACCAGTTAAGAGATGAGTACAGTCAGTCATTTGATTGGTCATCAGATCTCAAAACGTCAAAAATTTGTGTCTGACTGATAATCCCACCTTCCCCACACAATATATTACTGTGATGTTTTGGTTTTCTGTAGACACCGTTTTAATATTACAGTACATATGTTTTTGTCTTGGTTTAAGAAATAAGAGTTGCAATTTCTTTTTTTCAGTTACATCATGATCTGGGTGTTCTTTTTTGTTTTCTTCACATTTTTCACAGCTCTAAGTATTTCTAATTACCTGACTTTTTTCTTTAGCTATAAAAATTAAAATGAAACAATTTATTTTTATGAATTAAAATTGTGGCCAGTATCCACCCTGTGTACTTAGCCTGGTAAATAGTAAATTTAAGTAGCCGGTATGAGGAACTTTTAAGTGAAGGTACTGTGGATTAATTTTTGGCAGTTTTAGCCCACTAACTGGCTAAGTTAAAAAAAACTTGCGGTAAGGTAATAAATACAACCACTAAAACAGAATACATGTATCTTTTTCTGAATTGATAAAAATTCAGCCACTGATCCAGTGACTTTCCTAGTCTTGTGAAGTTACTGGCTGTGATGCATCCCTTTCTCTCATGGAAATGACTGAACTTTTGAGGTGACTGCAGCCAGTATCTGGACTCAACTGTAACAAACAACCTTTCGTCTTCCTTCTGTCTCATTTATAAACAATACTACTGTATAGATACTGCAACTTAGACAGGAAGACAGCAGTAGCAGTGGTGGCATTTAGCTAGTTATAAGCAAATACCATTATATAAAACAATTATGATTTAATATATGCAATTTTAATTGTAGGTAATAATTTTCCTGTATTGATTCAAATAAGTGACTTCTGTTAACCTGGGATCCACTGTACTGTAATTCATACTGTCACATAATATCATGTTCTCCAGTGTTGATTAATGCTGTAAACAGTACAGAGCTGGCATTTATAATAGTTCAGTATCCTAGAAATGCATTGAACTTCATAAGCATCAGTTAATTTTTAAAGCATACAAAATTGAAAATTCTGATTGAAATCATGTTATAAACTCAGAGAAAACAAGCCCATCTTTATTATTAAATACATAGCTTGAATAGTGTTCTAGTTTTTAATAATCCTAATTCCCTTTTTAATGAACTCTACTGTATTTATTCAGATGAGATCAGCAGGTATTTATCAGACACCTACTATGTGCCCAGCACTACTTAGTACTGTGGGGAAATACAAAGTTGAAGTGTGGTCTCTGCCCTTGAAGCTACCTTCTCCAGGAAATAAGCAGTATTATTTTCACTTCAAAGCAAACTTAAGCAAAGAGGGCGCATTTGTTTAAAAAAAAAAAGCATAACTTTATTAGTTTTAACTGAAATATATACTATGCTACTGTAGAAGTGGAAGTAAAAAATATTTTAATTAAAAAAATTGTAAAAAGCATTTCAAAAGTTAATTTATTGTTGGTAAGAGAGTCATGGTTTAACATGGAAGAGAGCAGAAGACCTGGATTTTTGTCAAAGCTCTGCCATTTATGTATCAGCGGTGTGACCTTGAGTAAGCCACTTATTCTTTCCACGTCTTAGTTTTCTCATTTATAAGTTTGGAGAAAAATGCAGTTAAGAAAAACATAGAAAACCATTCCCTAACTTATTAACACTTTATACTTGCAGATAATTTATCATTATTTAAATTACAACTGAAAGTTAATGAATACACATTTATATGCATTTTAAAATGAAAACTATTACTTACAAAATTTGTTTTATGTCAAATATATGCCTAGAGCATGCTACCTAAAAAATATGAAGAATCTCTAAAAAGGTGCTGAATTTAAAGTCAGAAATAGTGCTTGAAGTGAAAGGAGAAGTGGAATAGTTTATGGATAAGAGTGAGACTGTTTATCCTCAAGTAATCATTAAGGTTATTTAAAGTGATTGAAAGATAGTTTTAGATTTTTCTCAAAGAGGAATTAGGATGGTACTGCTCCTGGGGTACTCTTCAGGCATGGAATTAAAATGATGCAGCAACAACCCATGGAACTAGGGGGTAAAATAAGGTGGTTCCAAAGATGGGAATCAACAGGCAGCTCAGCGCTGGCTAAGAACGACTTGCTGGGTAGAAAGAGAAACCACTGTGGCAGCATAGGAAAGGAGAGTGATAGGACATCTTCAAAACTGAAGATACTTTCAGCCTTTTTCAGGAGATGCTCTCTATAGTGACAAGACTACCCCACAAAGAGTTCACCAGTGACCGTAAAGCCCAGTATGCTGCTGCCAGAAGTAACTATTGCAGCGTGTCAGCATTTTACAATTACACATTGAGACGAGGGCTTCATAATGTCACTCAGAAAAGTTCTCAGAAATTCATTTGTTCTCATTAAATATTAAGCAAATTGCTCCCTCCAAAAAGAGAAGCTAAAATCACCAGTCATTTTCGGATGCTCTAGACCTAGACCTTCATTTTAAGCAATCTTGAGGAGGTTAAGCCTCAGATCTTTAGCTGACGAAAAAAAATGTCACCGATAAGTAAAGGAGACAAATGAAACCCAGGTAGGGCAGTGATTCAGCTGGGGTCCCAGTGGATCCCAGACCTCACCCTATCACATGCTTCCTACCACCAGCCCTGTTCATAGGCAGCCCCTATGCAGCCTCTGCTCGTCCTGTGGTGGATGGTGTTGAAACGCTTACTAGAAGCCAGGTGGAAAGAAAGGGGAAGTAGTAACATACTGCATTGCTGTTGGACTAAAGTGATTTTAATACTGTAGCCTTACTAAAATCCCTGCCCTTAATTTCATTTGTTTTTCAGTGAACATCATGCCATTAGTCAAATATTTGATATTCCTTACATAAATACATTTTTTAAATTAGGATTAAAAGCAAATGCCTGTTTCCAAAGCAATTAGCTTATCGTGATTGACTGTGGTTTTATTCTTTTATAGTATTTTTTCCCCTCTTTAATGGGTAGGGGAAAATAACACTCATTTTTACCTGCATTCTACCCCTCAGAGTCTCCCTCTTTACCTTTGGTGCCCTCTCTAGTGTCCTAAAGCTTTGTCTTAACAAGTACAACATTAAATTTTATGTTAAAACCTTTTTGAAACTGTATTCAGTGATTCTTCCAACAAGTTTATCTGTTCTGCACTATTTCACTAATAAACCCTGGCTACCACGTAGCCCTTGACCTCCAAGTAGTTTGCCTATGCAAGACCTGTGACATTCTGAATTCACTTTTCCTTGTTTCAGAAAGCAGTCCTAAGTGGAACTTACTCATACAGATAATCCTTGCCTCCACCCCCTTTTATTTTGGCCATTTCCTTTGCAAAATGTCAGCTATTTTCCCCCCAAGATTTTTCACCAAAACAATGATCATAAGTGCTGGAATATATAATATTTTGCAGGAATAAAACAACCCAGACATACTCTTATATTTCTGTGGTAGATTTTGGTTGGTAATGGTTACCAGCATTAAGTGGACTATAGAATGAGGAGTTAATTTCTTGCCTAGAATCATTTCTTCCCTCTGATTCATAAGTAACCTTTTATTTTTACAAAGCCTACATATAACTTCCACATTATAGTCAGGGACCTGTGGTGTAACTTGCTAAGGGAACCCCCAGGTTATTTTATCTTGCTAAAGAAACCTAAACCAAACTAAGGGCCTTACATTTATGGTTAGACTGAATCAAAAGCTATAACCTCAATTTTTCCCCAAACAGCTTCTGACTGCAAAAGCAAGTCATGCAGTTGTTAGGTATAAAATAGCACTGATCAGGAAATGCATTTGCATCTTTGCAGACGGTATTTCCTTCCGAAAACACTTTTCTACTTTTAATATAAATTAAGCCATAACAGTTTGATGCTGTGGAAAGAGGGTGAAAAGGTTCATTTGAAGAGATTATATATGAATTTTCACATTTACTGTGAAATGTCTAACTTTGCCAGTGCTTCAGCAGGTTTTTTTTTTGGTGGGGAGGGGTAGAGGGAGGTGATAGGGAGGGGTAGTATTGATTTTAGGGGTTTCAAATCTGTGAAATTTGAAAAGGGGACAGTTGTTGGCTATGGTATTTACTAGTTTTGTAGTAAGGTTTTGCTAGCCTGACTGACTTTCCTTAAGTGATGTTTATGCCCATGGTCCATGGTGACTGTTCCCCTTTCTTGTTGGGGGTGTCTGCGGAGTAGTGTCTTGTCTGTATAGGCAGTCAGTGCGTAAGCACACGTGTGTCCTTTCAAGACAGAAGTACACTGTGTGACTACGGAGCGGGGTGTGGCTGGGAAGTGGGATGCTGAAGCTTTAAGAGCAATTTTTTTCCGATTCATAACAGTATTTCCCATCTTTTGCCTGCAGGCAGGGAAAGTGTACAGTATTTATTTTGTTTCTGTTTTAAATTTGTAAGTCTTTAAATAGCTTATGTTGGTTATTAGAGGGGAGGACAAGTGACTTGTTTAAAGTGTATTTGGTATTCTTTCCAATTTCTGTATTTTGAAATATTGAAATTAAAATTGTATTACTTCTGTTTTGATTTTTTTAGCGCTCAGTGTATTTTTGGCTCATTTTGTTTGAAAGTATAAATGTTGAAAGTTGTATAAAATGTGTCTTCGAAAGAAAAATTTGAATTCTATATCCAGTTCTGACTTTCTGTTCCCTTTTTCTGCTTATTGAATCATGGGAGAATTATTTGAGTTTGTGAAAAACTGTATCCAACTTAGGCTCCTTACTATTTCTGAAGATTTAAATGTGAAAAGTAATGTGTCATATTATTTTATTAGAGTCATTGCTGGGGAAGCAATGGCTGACAGAGAGGAAAGAACACAAAAGGATAATTAGCAAGATAAGGCTATGTGTGGCCATGGATGCGGGTGCTACTGGTGGACATTTAAGAACATTTGTTGTCCCCACCTTGGACACCCCACACACACTGAGCACCTGCGGTATATTGGGTGCTGTTCTAGCACTGGAGCCACAGGAGTGAACAAGACAGCTCCTGTCAGGAGCATATGGTGGATGTGAAAAGCCTGGGAGAACGAGACTGGGACCTGCCTGCCTAGGGAATGTGGGAGTGGAAGTGCAATCTAGTGAGAAAGATGAGTTCTGTGTTGGACATAGTACTTTTGAGGGGTCTGAGAGGCAGGTCTGGGAGGAGCTGAGTGGGGTGAGGCTTTGCCTTGGGGAAGGAGCACTGCATGCAGCAAAGCAGGCAGAAGAGGAGCCTGGGAAGGGGCAGGAAGTGGGAGGAGGGACGGCTGTGGAGGAGGAGCCCAGGTGCAGATTCGTGGAAACCAAGGCGACAGAAGGACCAAAGGCCTCTGCTCTTGCCCAACAGTTGGAGGTCCAGAGTGCACACACCTCAACAGCTGTTCCAAGAGTGGTACCCAAGGCACGTTCACACCTTTCTTACTGGCCTGCTTTCTTTCAGCTGATTGAAATTAAATCTGAACAAATCTGTTCTTTTATAAAAACCCACATACTAGCTGAACCTGTAGGATGTTAACCCTTTGTCTGCTAGGAGTGAATTACCAGGACTGCGCTCATTAGACTTTTAACCTGGTTTTCGTGTTTCCACCAAGCAGTGGGTCAGATCATCACGGTGTGATGTGGGGTGTTACCCACCCCTCCATTTATAGCGGAAACAATGAGGTGCTGTGCTGCAGACAGGTTTTTGAATAGAAGCCCTCATTATCTTTGTTTTATTCCATTTGAGTACACTCTGTGAATAGGGCATATTTTCAATTCTTCCTTACAATGACCCAGCAAGGCAGGTGGTGGTCTTCCCATCCTGCAGATGAAACGGAGGCCAGAGACAGTAGGTAATATGGCCAGGTTCACAGTGCTAATGAGTAGAACTGAGATTTTCATTAAAAACCTAACTCTGAAGGCCATGTTATTTCTTCTGAATTATTTTTCTCTATTTTTTATTGTTATACTTTCAATTATTAAAAAGTAATAGATGGTCTTTAGAAATGATTTGTAGCCTAAAATTTTTTTGTAGGCATCCATTTTGGATTGAAAATATATTTTCTTACAGAAGTTTTCTGCCACTCAACTTTCAGTCTGTCCTTTCCCAGGGGCTGGGCCCAGATGAAAGAATGCTGTTGATTTTCTAGGATCCCACTTTCTAGTGAAGAACGGGCTATAAACAAGGGACATGTGATATTGTTACAATACCTGAACCTAACATGAATTCCCAAAGTCACAGAGCTAGGCTGTGAGAAGAGGTCATGCCTAGTGCACCCCTTCCCACACTGAAGACTCTCCTGCCATCTTTTTCTGCCCTTCATCTGTGGTAAATGGATCAGAAAGAAAAGTTAAGTTTCTCGCTCTCTAGAGATTGGGTAAAAGAAAAGCAGAACTATGGGAAAAGAACCCTATCCATTTTTAGAATTCTATTTCTGTCAACTATTAAGATCTGTAGAAACTCATCAATATGGTGTTATAAAGGATATTTCCAGTTTCTTTACAATAAAAAAGATAGAATGGGTTTTTTCTTTAATGAGATAAAACTAGTTATATAGCTCACTTAGAACCTAAAACCTAAAATGTAATTGCTTCGTAAACTTTATATAGGTGTGCTTGCTTTGAAAATACAGAACAGTCATTGTTAATGTGTAAAACTACAAAACAGGTGATACCTAATTATGAAAATACTTTTTTCTACCTAAAGGGGGAAAAATAGTGCTTCCTGAGAGCTACTTGATTCCACAGAGCGGTATTTTCAGAGCTTTGAAGCAGGACCCATCATGGGTGCTGTTACTCTGCTCTAATTCCTGGGCAGGGTGATGTGCAGGGAAGGAATTGCTCAGGGTCAGCAGGGCTCATCTTGGAAGACAAATCACACAGCAGGCCGGGGCATGGATGAGGATGGAAGTATGCTGAGCCCAGGAGGGTCTGGGCTACAAAGGTTCCCGGCCAGGAAGAGGAACCGGGCCATGAGCAGGAGGAGCAGAACGTGAGCTCCAGGCTTGGTTCCTCAGCTCCAGATCAGTGTGTGCTGCTGGTGGGGGCCACCTGATGGCAAGACTGTACACTTCTCTATCAGATCCCAAATCCCCATGTTCAGTCCCAAATGTGCTTCTCAATGAATGACCTCAACAGTCCTCCGTTGCCCAAGCCTGATTACTGGGTGCTCTTCTTGAACGATCCCTCTCCCTACCCCAACCAGGGATTCACAGAGGCCTGTCAATTTGTCCTAACATTCCATTAGTCCTTCTCTTGATGGCCACCAACAACCACAGTCTCTCTTTAGGAGCTTTTAGGATCAAGACCAAAATCCTTAACGTATATCAGTCAGAGGTCGAGTCCACTGTAAGGGAAAGAAAACCCCAAACACTAATGGCTTAAACAAGATAGAAAGCATTCCAGGACTGGTGACTTCACGAACTTGTCAGGGGCCCAGATCCATTCTGTCCTGCTGGCCTGCCATCTTTGGCATATGGCTTTCACCTCATGATCCAAGATGGCAGCTTAGAGCAGCCAGCCAGAGAGGGGAGAAAGGGTGAACCTGTAATCACTTTACAATTTCTTTATTCTTGAAAGTCTCAAGTCTGGACATTGGAGGCCACAAAAACTGAGCCCCCTAATGTCTGGGTGACCTTGGGCAAGTTATTTAATCCCTCTCAATTTTAAGTCTCAGTTTTTTTCAGCTCTAAATGGGTGTAATGGTAGCTTCTACTTCATATGCTTGTTATGAAAAATAGATGCGATAATCCATGTAAAGCATTTAGCGTTGTGCCTGGCACATACGTGTTCAATAAATGTAATAGTAATTGTTCATATTCTCTCATTTCCCTCAAGTCCACTGGTCTCTTAATTACATCAGAATAGCCCTGAGGACAGAGAACAAAGGTAACATTACTTTTGGACCTTCCACGTCTTTGCTGAGTGCTAAGCACACGGTGGGCACTGCCTGAGGATATGTTACTTGAAATACTTATCACTGTGTGCTCTCCTTCCCTTGGAGCTTCACTAGGCTGTGGCTGACCTAGAGTAACACCTACCTCATATCTGCTAAGTCTTACCCCTTGGCAGCTGTTTCCTGTTGCTTTCCTGCGTCACTGAACACTTTAGGTCTTGGCTCTGCCTAGATCTCTAGGACACCACTGTGCTCTGTAAGTGGTTCTGCCAGCCCAAGCTGGCCTCAGCAGAGAGAGTGGCAAGATGGAAGTGCCACACTGCCCTTACCCCTTCCCTTAGCTTCCCACATGTAGAGCTAAGCATACTGACAGGAGTTACAAAAGGGTTTGGACAGTAGAAAGAAATTAAAGAAAACCTGAAATTTGTCCATTAAATATGATTATCCCTCACAGCCCAAGGGAAAATGAACCATTTTCAGAAACACCCCATTCCCTGCCCTTGTTTCTATTTTAAGACCCTCTTTTTCCACTTTCTCTCTTCAGTCTGTTATTTGTTGGGGTCCCCCAGAGGACGCTAATGGTACCCTCAACCTGCATAATTGGGAAGAGCTTAATAAAAGGACTATTAACAAATGAGTGTGCAGGGGCTAGGGAAAGCAACAAGGGATGGTGGGCATCCTGGGGCTGGCAACAGAGAGAGGAAGCCATTCCCACCCCTGCAGGATCAGCGAAGGGAGAAGTTATTAGAACGCAGAGGAAGAGTTGTGTGGAGAGGGCCTCCCACAGGAGCGGTGGCCTCTGGCACAAGGAGATAGCCAGCCACCCAGGGGGACAGCCAGGTGGGTGAGTACCCTGGCTTCACCCTTGATCTACCAGGCCCCTCACTGGTGGGTCCTGATGGGAGCTGAACAGCCAGGAATTCCCCTTGACCCTGTTCACAGAGGCCAGCCTTCAGGAACACAGAGCAGGGTGGAGGAGAGTGAAAAGTGGACCTGGAAGGGCAAATGAAACGAACCAGCACAATTCTTCTACTCTGGGAAATTTCCACACGCACCTCTTAAGAGAACCAGCCCGTTTTACCACGAAAGACTGATTTCACCCGAGGACCCAGCCTTCAATCATCTGCAATCACCAGCAGTGATTCTCCCAAAGTCTGAGTTAAGAATAACAGTCAAGAATGTTAGTCAAGGGCCGGCCGAGTGGCGCGATGGTTAAGAACTCGCTTGGGATGCCAGAGGGCCCCGGTTCGGATCCCACATATGAGGGCCAGTGACACTGCCCTCTACAGCTAAGATGCTGAACAACAGCTCAACCTGGAGCTGGGCTGCCCTGAGTCGCCGGCGACGGCGTGGGCTGCAGTCCCTGTGGCAGTGGATTGCCATGGGCTACCGTGAGCGGCCAGCAGCCAGCGTGAGCGGCCAGCAGCCGCAGTGAGCGGCCGTCCAGAAGCCGGCGACTGATCTGCCTCGCCCGGGAAAAGCGCAATGATGGTGCCAACTTGGGCCACTGAAGCAACATCCTCCACAACTAGACTGAAGAACAAAAAACGACAGCAACTTGTCTGTTCCCCTTCCCCCAATTCCCCAGCACTGTTCCCATCCCCCCAATTCCCCAATAAAAAAAAAAATCTTAAAAAAAAAATGTTAGTCAATTACAGTATTGGCGCTGGGTGGGGGAGGACAGGAAGGAGGACTTTGATGACATTCCAAATGATCCCTCCTGAGGTTTGTTTGTTTTTTTGCCAATGGGAGGCGAAGGTGTACTTCTCTTCTTCACTTGTATTAGTTTGCCTGGGCTGCTATAAAAAAGTACCACAGACTGGGTGGCTTAAACAACAGATTTCTCATTGCTTTTTTAGGCTAAAAGTTGGGGTTAGCAGGGTTGATTCTGTCAGAGGGCCAAAAGGAAGGATCCATTCCAGGCCTCTCTCCTGGACTTGTGGATGGCCGACTTCTCCCCATGTCTTCCCATCTCCCCTCAGTACATGTCTGTGTCCGCATTTCCCCTCCTTATAAAGACACCAGTCACACTGGATTCGGGCCCATCCTCATGACCTCGTTTTAATTTAATTCTCTCTTAAAAGACTGTCTCCAAATACAGTTAACATTATCAGGTTACTGGGGGTTAGGACTTCAACATATGAACTTTGAGGGGGACACAATTTAATCCATAACACTATAGGATCAAGTCATACATATACAAACAATAACAGACTAAGTTTATAAATCCATGTTTTAAAAAAAATTTTTTTCTTACCACATTATCTGCTTAGATTCCCCTGCCCACAACAGTGGTGACTAAGTGCATAGGAAATGTGCTCCTTACAGTCACTGGCCTGCTCAGAACCCCAGGAATGATCCCTTTATCTTTGGTAGGATGAAGTTTGGGGGCAGGGCTTCTAGCCCTACTCATGTCCAGAGCAAATCCCCAGGGATGAATACAGTTTTATGTATTCTGTTGATGGCATTATGGTGACATTTGCTGTCTTTATTCCTTCCTCAAATACCGGGGGTGTCAAAAAATGTGTACAAGTGGACACTTAGGTCAATATTGCTCAAGCAGTAGTTTGCTGTAATCAGAAGTGTCTAGACACTGATGGGAACCACTTCGAGCATCTCTTGTAATTGCAGAAGTCAAACGTGACTTTTATTCATCCTTTGCTATCAGTATATACTGAGTATTACAATTTTAATACAGTTTTCCTTTCTTAAAACGTGTATATGTTTTTTTTGCACCCTCTGTATTTACTGAATATCTGGTACTAGCTAGGCTCTGTGGAGGTCAGTGGGAACAAGATAGGGTACCCTCTGACAGAGCAGGGGTTATAGCCGAGGAAAAAGCACTGTGCTAGTCATCACGAAAGCACCACAGGCTGGTCTGGGGTCACATGTCCCACGCCTGGTGTTGAGCCGAGTCAGCAGTGCAGACATCCTCTTCTCTCTGTGGGGATTATCTCTGCCCATCAGTGGTGTTTCCGTGACCTGAGCCACAGAGCATGCAATGGACACTGCCTGCTCTGCCCAGTTGCCTTCAGATCCCTTTTCCCCTGTCTTAGCGCCCATCTGCAAGTTTTACTACCCAGGTGCAGGTGCAGAGCACCCGAGGGCCCGGGGCTTTCTTCCTGCCCCTGCTCCCCCACAGGACTTAGCCAATGCTGGATGGATGACTGGATGATGGTGCAGGGTCTGATCGCCCTGAAGAGGGACAAACTGAGGAGTATTTATAGTCGATCCTCCTATTCAGATTCTGTATTTGCAAATTTGTCCTTGTACTAAAATTAACCTGTAATCACCAATCGTTATGTGTGGTATTTTCATGGGCACACACATAGTGAGCATTCTGCCTTGTTTCATCTCTTACAGGGTAAACGAGTGTCCTTTCTGTGGTCTATTTAGTGCATGTTTTTCATATTTTGGTGCTTTTTGTTGGTGATTTCACTATTTAAAATGACCCACACACATAAGGGCTGAACGGCTGTCTAGTGTTCCTAAGGGCAAGCAGGCTGTGATGTGCCTTTTGGAGAAAATATGTGTGTTAGGTAAGCTTCATTCAGGCATGAGTGATGTGGGCTGTGAGTTCAACGTTAATGAATCAACAAAATATATTAAGTAAAGTGTCTTTAAGCAGAAACACAGACAAAACAAGGTTGTGTGCTAATCCAAATTGCCAAAAATGTGACCAGAGGCTCGCAGGACCCTAACGGTGAACTTCCCCTGGGAGTAATGATTTGGTATCGGCTAATTCAGTGTTCACAGTGACTTTGTAGAACATGACCAAGAATAATGAGAATCCACTGTGAGGCATGCATGTGGCCTTCTAGATTCCTAGAAATAAGCTGGAGCTTTTCAAAGCCCCAGTGGATATCTCATGCTGCAGCTTTTCCTTTTAAACTTTTTGGTTTCAGCTTTTCCTTTTAAGCTTTTTGGTTGGTTTATAGTTTGCCCCAAATGTTATCCATTGCCTCAGCCAGTCATGTTAAAACAACCCATGGAGAGAAGCCATTAGGACATTAGGATTGGGCTAGTTCCTTCCAGTGAGGTGGAATAAATACCAGCCTTTTCAGGAAGTCTTCCAGGGGACCACCTGACAGGTCAAATAATAACTTACTTGGGACTGAAAGAGCTCCAGCTCTGTTCTGCTCCGTCTGGTACAGGTACGGGGAATGTGGGCTGTTAGTTTTCAAGGCTGCCATGGAGCTGGGAAGAAGATAGGACCAGGGTAAGTTGGAATGCTGCAAAGCATGATGTGCTTACTTAGATTCAGCTGTTTTTCTCGACTAAATGCTATTAAATGAGTTGCTGCAAGACTCTGGTTGATTTCCAGAATTCTGAAAACAATGATTCTGACCATTTTTGCCAGTTTTCCATTGCTTGTATGGAAGGGCAAACTTGCTGAGGTCCTTACTGCAGTATTTTTACTGACATCACCCTTACTTTCTTTAAAAAAATGTTATTTTATTGCGAAACAATATTAAAACCACAGTTACAATTAAATTTTTAAGGAAAAATTAATTTTTCCATATAAACTAGAAAAAAAATTAAAATCTGAGAGAAAAACTGCCTCTCTTCCCATCCCCTAGTTTCCATTTGTCCATGGTACTATCTAGTCTTCATCCATACACTTAGATTTTTTACATTTTTGTAGTAATATCATAAATAGAATTTTTTTCATTTTAATATTGTAAATGTTTTTCACAATCTTTCCGCCCCCATCGTCCTTTTTCTCCGTTTTCCACTTTCCTAGCACCTCCTACTGCCCACTCCCTACAACCAGTTTGAATGCAAACAGCACAGCGTGTGTCCGTCCTCAGCCTTCTCCAAGCCCATTCAAAAATATCCTGCCACATTCACACACAAATAGGATTCTCTCTCTGCTATTGATCTCGCCATTTCTACACAGCTTTTTCACTTAACAACAAACACATCACGGCTATCCGTCTACGGGAATAGACGGAGACTCAACGTACGTTGTTAAAATTAACAGTCTGGACAACAACCAGCCCGTTGCTCCTAGTACCCTACCACCCCCACGTAACTCACGTACTGTTCCTGTTACATCTAGAAGATTCCCCGAAAGGCGGCTGCGTCAAAGGTCACGCACATCGGAAATCTTAATAGCTATTCCCGGATGCCTTTCCCCAAAGTCTCTTAACAATTCACATTTCCATCCACACCTGAAGAGCGTGTCCCTACGTTCCGAATGGCCTTTCACTATTTGTTCACTCTTTAGTCGGGAAGGGTGCGGAGACACGAATCGGCTTTTTAAACGGATATATCTACATAGCTACCCTTCTATGTTTAAAATGAGGGGTTCGCTGCCAGCCCTGACGAGAAAGTCACATTTAAGCCCATTTCGCATCTCGGGATGCACCTTTTCTTCCGCGGTGCTCCCCAGCGTCGCCGTCCGCGCGTACGTGAGCCGTCTAGGAAGCGCGCGCCGGCCGCCGCTGCGTTTCGCCGCGCGACCCAGGGGGCGTCCCAGGTGCGCCGCAAACGCGCCGGGTGCAAAAGGCTCGCGCCACGCGCTCTGGCCTCAAGAGAGGCAGCTGCGCGTGCTCCCGGGCGTCGCTCCTCCATCTTCGAGGTGAAGCGCTTCGTGAGGCGCAAAGCGCTGCCCGGAAGGCAGGGCCTCTTCTTTCAAGCGCCCGGAGAACCGCTTCGAGAGACCCACCGAAGAGCCCGGGGAGCCGCCAGAGCCGCCGCAGCCGTCGACGGAGATGATGTCCTCAGCAGCCTGGGCGGGCGCCTCAGCTGAGGGCCCTGAGGCCGGCAGGCGCTGTGCCCCGCTCAGCCTCGGGGCCGTGGGCGTGGCGAGGGAGCCCGGGATCTGTTTTCCCCAGACCGGAGTCAACTTTCAGTTTCGCTTCCCGAAGCCGTCTCCACCCCGCGAGCGCCGCCCGGCTAGCCGGCGGCTCGACGGGCAGCGCGGCCCCACCGCCATGGCCCAGGCCACCGTCGTCGGCGAGATAACCCAGGTGCTGTGCGCGGCCGGGGGCGCCTTGGCGTTGGAGGAGCTGCGGCGCCGCTTGCGGGAGGGCGTCGGCGCGGACGCGCTGGAGCGGCTGCTGCGGGAGGACCAGCGCTTCGTGGTGGCGGCGCGGGCGGGCGAGGGCGGCGCGGCGGCGGCCCAGCGGGTGGTGCTGGCCGTCTCGGCGCTGCGCCTCTGCAGCGCCCACCATGGCGTCAAGGCGACCTGCGTGGGGCTCTGCTCGCAGCTGCACCTCTGCAAGTTCATGGTCTACGGGGCCTGCAAGTTCCTGAAGGCCGGGTAAGGCGCCGCGCCGGCTCGACGGCGGGCGGGGGGGAGGGAAGGGCGGGCGGAATGAGGGCCCTTCTTCAAGCTTGGGGAGGCGATTAAATGGCCGTCCTCCCCTTAATTCTCCTCAGGGAACATGAGTTGAGCGCCTGCTGAATACTTGGGACTGTGTGAGGCACTCGGTGGAACCCTGCCCTCAAGGCATCTGCCGTCTGGGTGTAACTTAGGGCGCGGGACCCGCTGGAACGCTCGGGGTGCGGAGGGGGCGGGGCGATGGGCGCCTAAGGGTGGGGGAGGGGCGCGCTCTCCTGGGGGAAAGGGCTGCGACGCCCGCTTTCCAGAGCTTTGAGGGCCACGTCACCCACGGCTTTCTCGCCCGCAAGGTCCATAGGGAAGTGTAGCTCCAGCTGCCCCCTCCTGGGTGCCCTTTGGCTTCTGCTGGCCTTTGCTCGGCCTGGAATGCCGTTCCTGGTTTGCCCCATGATGCCTTCGGGCCTCAACGCAAACATCACTTTCCTGTTGAGTCCTTCCTTCCTTTCCATCCCTTTTGTCCCGTTTGCTTTTTTTCACAGCACCTACCCCATCTCCCCGCCCCTCAGTAGGATGGACGTTGTGAGGGCAGAGGCCCCGCTGCCTTGGCCCTGGCTGGTGGGGCCCCTCTCTGCACACAGCCAGGTGCTCAGTGAGATTTTACGGCCGGATGGACTGGGTTGGGGCTAACGAGTTTGGACCTCACCCTGAAGGAGAGAAGGGCCCATTAAATGGCAGGAGAGAGCAGCCATCAGGTCTGCATTCTAGGAAGATACTGTATATGTTAGATTTGCAGGAGGATGCGATGGGGACGGACCTATTTGGAAATTAGTCCAGCTATGGAAAAGAATTCTTTTCTCCCTCCCTCCCTCCCTCCCTCCCTTTCTTTTTTTTGTTTCCTCAACACAGTAGACATTATTTCTTGCTCATGTCAGGTCCAGTAGTCAAAGGTGGGGTAGGGGCTTTGATTCATGCATTCAGGGACCTAGGCTGGCTGACCTAGACCCATGGCTCTTAAGGCCATTCTGGGCATCGGGTTCCAGGAAGCAAGTGGAGAAGGTGCACAGTAGAGGGCTGGACAGAGGTTTTTATGGGGCCAGTTCTAGAAGTGGTAGACATTCTTCCACCCACATCCTCTGGACCACACAATGTCTCATGACCCGACCTACATGGGGAAACGGGTTGGGGGACTGGGAAATGTAGTCCCTGGGATGCAGCTGCCCAGAAATATTTACAGTAGAATATTCCAATGCCCAGATAAGGCTTTAAGAAGAAGAGATGTATATGTGAGAAATTCGGGAGAGATGGGGAGTTGGTGAGAGTGTGGTGACGGGATATGAGGTGATGACTCAGTTTATTGTGGACTGAAGATGACTTTTAAATTTCTCTTATTGTTGACTGAGAGCAGGAGAGGATTTTGTTTTGGAGTTTGCCTAGGGGTCTGAAGCTTGCGAGGATGGCCAGGGGCCTGATTGGTTGGTTCGGAAATTATTGGGCACTATAAGGCTGGGGCTCCAGGAGTGGATCAGATCCGAGATGGGGTCTGAGGTTGGAACCCTAGGGAAACTGGGCCTTCAGGGACTGGTGGAAATGAGGCACCTCGGGAGAATTAGGAGCAGCAGCTGGAGAGGAAGGCAGGCACAGTAAATGGTGGTTGGATGGCTGTAATGATGGGGATAACTGGTGCATCTTGTTAATGTCTGTATTTAGTAAAATAAAGATGGCAGCCCTATTCTTAGGGTAGTTCCCAGAATTTGGGGTCAGATTTTACTTGTCTTGGACATCTGGTGTTTACTGGTCTAGATGATTCTGAGTTTTATTCATTCTTCACCTTTTCCTTTTGATTGATGTTCACACAAGAGTTTCTTCAACCTTCCATCTCCAACTGTTTCTGGGTCACGTACAGGGGGAAAGTGTGCGTGTGTGGTCGGCTGTATTTTCTATGCTTTGCTTGTTTTCCTGAACCACAGGTCAGCAGTTTCAGAAATAGATCCTTACTGCTGCTTTTGCTTGTTGGTTATATCTGGGAAGGGTCCCCAGTCCCTGACTTCCATCCTGCGCTTAGGGGACAGTAAGCACCATGGTCACGAGCATAGTCCCAAAGATAAGCCTGCTTTGTTCCAACTCTGCCTCTGTTCCTTGCTAGCTGGGTGGTCTTGGGCAAGTTACTTTATACCGGAGCCTCAGTTCCATCATCTGCAAAATGGAGATAATATTACCTACCTCATAGACTTGTTGAGGACAGAATGAATTAACTCATAAAATGTTTGGGCAGTCCTTGTTCGTGATAAATGCTCAACAGGTTTTAGTAGCCATCATCATTAGTATTTCAATGGTTAGATAGATTTGGCTCTGGCAGTACCGATTATTAGCTCCTCTGCCTACCATGTTCTTCCCTTCTCTCCTTGCCTGGATCCTCTTCAACCCTAAGTATTTGGCACAGGCCCTCTCTTGTTTGCCCCACTTCTATCAGGCTCAGGTGTCCCTCCTGTCTGCACTGATATATTCAGAGCACAGCTGACCTTGTACTTCCCACTCCATTTTAGAGTCATCTCTGTGTCTTTCATCTCCACTAGATGAGAGAAGGAGAGAAGTCAGGATGACTCCCAAGGTTTTTGGTCTGTGCAGTGGAAGAGGAAAGTTGCCTTTGACTGAGATGGGGACGCCTGTGGAAGGTGCAGGTTTGGGGGAAGTGATCAGAGGTTAAGTTTTCTTTTGAGATGATAATATAAGCATGACATGTGAGATAATGGCAGTGTCTGAGTCAAGCAAATGCTCTTTGCCTCACTCTTTGGGTCATGTTGACACAGGTGATCATTTGAAGTCTTTGTATCACTGGGGCATGGTGCCAGTGCCTGGCTCACAATGAGTGTTTAACAGGGGTTTGTTGATGGAAAAAATGGAGGACGGGAGCAAAAAAAAAAGGGCTGGCCCTCGTGTGTGTGTGTGTGTGTGTGTGTGTGTGTGTGTGTGTGTAAGCGTGTAAGCACGACCATAAAGTATCAACACTCATTTATTCAGCCTTCAGCCAGTGTTTAAGTGTACAGTGATTGGTACGTTGTGACTCTTTTTTGGGGAATAGCCCTGTCATTCTCATCAGAAACCTGCTGAGAAGGGCTGTCCTGGGCTCTAGAACTCATGTTATCATTTCTTCCTTTGTAAATAAGCATTATGTTTTATTGTGCATAGCCATGCTGGTTTTTCTCCAGTGCTTCTAAACAATGTCAGGACCTGTTCTTGAAAAATTGTCTTAAAGACTGATTTCACCAGCTGTATTAGTTTGCTCGGGCTGCCATGACAAGTTACCACAGACTGGGTGGCGTAAAAAACCAGAAATTAATGTTCTCAAAATTCTAGAGGCTAGACGTTAGAGAGATCAAGGGTTGGTTTCTTCTGAGGCTTCTCTCCTTGGTTTATAGATGGCCATCTTCTCCCTATGTTCTCACATTGTCTTCCCTTTGTAGAGTCTGTGCCCTAATCCCCTCTTCTTTTAAGGACACCAGTCACACTGGATTGATCCCCATCCAGTGACCTCATTTTAACTTAATCACTTCTTTAAAAACTCTTGTCTCCAAATACAATCACTTCTAAGGTACTGGGCGTTAGGACTTCAACATAAGAATTTTGTGGAAACTCAGTTCACTGATGACACCAGCTCTGCTCTGCTTTGCAGGAAGAACTGTAAGAACAGCCACACCTTGACGAGCGATCACAACCTCAGTGTGCTTAAGATTCATGGCGTCGACCACCTCAGCTATAGTGAGCTCTGCCAGCTCTTGTTTCAGAATGACCCTTGGCTTTTGCCGGAGGTGAGTGCCAGGAGGGGGTGTGTGAGTGTGCAGGGAATTGGGGAGAGGCCAGAAGGTTGGAACATAGGAAATATTATGGTAGAAGAGAAGCAAAGGCCCCCATCATGACCACTGGGGTCTGCTTAGAGGAGACCTAGATTGAATTCCTGGCTCTGTGACCGTGGGTCAACCTTGCCCCTCGAAGCCTCCTTTGCTTCTGTATCAGTTGGGCTGGTACCTCCTTCACAGGGCTTCTGTGGGGTTGGAGGAGCCTGTTTGGCCAGTGGCTGCAGCAAGATGTTATTTACACAGAACCAAGGGGATGAGAAACTCCAACCAGCCCCTCCTTGTCTACACACAGGTATCATTGGACCCAGTTGGGTCTGTGGAGAAGCTTTTCAGGGTTGCTGACAGATGATGCGCTTTCTACTAATTCAGTTGCACCCAGGGAATTTTGAACTTTAGTTGATAGGAATTCTCATATTGCATTTCAGACATTAACCACTTGTTTCAAAGCTCACTGCAGTGGCTATATACAAGTTCGGATCCTTCGAGAAGCAGACACCAAGATAGGATTAGAAGTGTGAGAGATTTATAGGGAAGGGAGCAGAAGGAGTTGGGGTGAGCTTTCAGGCAGTGATGCAGGTCTGACATCTGGCGGGAGAGGGTGAAGGAAGGGGACTGGATAGGAAGAGAGTCTGACTATAGCACAGTTCCAAGAAAGCTGCTGCATGGCTAACTGGTAGTTCTGAGCTAAAGGTTTCACTGTTGGAGGCAACCTGGGCTCCCTAGAACGGTGTGCTCCGTCATTGCCTGGGAACATCCCCTGGGAGTGTGGCCCCCGTGTGAAGAAAGTAGTTGCTCCAGAGGGCAGCAGCTGGGCTGAGAGTTAAATGTGCTCTGTAGCAGATCTGAGTGGTGCCTTCCTGTGGCCAGCACAGATTATATGAGATGCTCGGACACTGTCCCTGCAATGAGGCAGCAGAGATTAGATTGGTATATTTTAATGAAAGTGCTTCCATATGATTCAATTAAAATCACCCATTTGATAAAGGTTCTACATAGCATAGTGACTGGCACATAATAGGTATTAACATTTTTCTTTTGTCTTTTGAAAATTAGCATTGATTTGCTTCAGCTAACCTTTGTTGAATACCCACTATGGGTCAGGCACGTTTACTGGGTCAGACAGACAAGTCAGCAGATAATTGTAGGGCACTGTTTTAGATGCTCTAATAGAAGTGAGCACTTTGGTCTAGGGGGCACAGTTTGGGTGCTGAGGAGGTGTCCTGGAGTCGATGGTGCCTACTTAGGAGTTGAAGAATGAAGGTCTGGGAAGAGGGAACCTGGCATGGTCAGGGTACAGCATGTAGGTCAGCCCAACCTGGATTTAGCATTAGAGAGGGGAGAGAGAGAAAAGGGTGGGCAGAGGCTCATCCACACAGCCTTCTGTATCACAGGAAGGAGGTGGGGGGTAGGTTTGTGTTTGGAGAGTGGGCATTCACGTTTCAGAGAGATCATCTTGTCAGTAGTGTGATAATGAATCCGAAGGTGACCATTTGGTGGAATTGTGTAGCCTGGCTGTGCAGGTTGGCTCAGAACACAGTGCCAGCAAATGGGAGCTGAGACCATAAACTCGGACCCAGTGTAGCTTTCCTGCCAAGACTTCTGTTCTCAGGCTCTTCCCCGTATCAGATGACCAGCTGGGGGCCGCCACCATGAATCAACCCACTGTGTTCCAGGCATTGTATTAGCCACGTCGTGTATTTCCCATAATATCCTCAGGATAGCCCAGGAATGTAGGTGGGATTATTCCCATTTTGGGGATTAAAAAACTGAATCTCAGAGCTGGACTTGCTGAAGGTCAGGCAGCTTGTAAGTGACAGAATCAAGGTCTTCCTTCTCTGGCCTTGCCCCTCGGGGCTTCCATTCTCAGAGTGGTGTCCCTGCTGAAATTTGCTCAGTATAATGCCTGTGAATTGAGTGAGTGGGTCCTTGGTAGTCTCTGGCCTGGTTCCCATTTACAGGAATTTAGAGTGTAGAGTAGAAGAAACAGTTGATTCAAGTTCAAGACCCAGCTTTGCCAACAACCCAATTCAACAGCCATGGTATGTGCCAGATTGCTGTGTGACGTAGGGCAAGAAGTTAGCTTCTCTGAGTCTCAGTTTGCTCCCTTGAGAAATGAAAGGGCTGTATTTGGCCTTCTCTAAGATTCTTTAAACTCAGAACCTCTGTGACCCTGGGTTGTAGAAAAAAAAGTTGGAAAAAACTGGGGCCTAGGCAAAGGTATAGTTGGTGAATTAGGGAAGGGTGTAGGTAGAGTGTAAGGGTTGTTAGGAGCTGTTATGCATTTTATACTAAAATGTCTCCTATAAAGGGAGCAGCTCTGATCAATTTGAATTGTTTGGATTTTTCCAGTGGAGGGGCTTGTTCTGAGCAGTCTGCTGTCCACCCAGTTCCCATTTTAGCCAAGAGCACATATTAACAGCCATCCATCTAGAGTGAGGATATATTCTCATAGCTGTGTGGCCTGTGTGGATAACAGAATCACAGCAGTGGCTAGATTTCTAGAAAAACTTCTAACCAGTGAACTGGTCAGTAAGGAGGTGGTGTCTTGTGAGGCTTTCCTAAGCTGCTGTCTTCTTCTCTGTCAACAGATCTGTCTTCACTACAACAAAGGAGGAGATGGACGCTATGGCTCTTGTAAATTTCAGAAGCAATGTATCAAACTCCATATCTGCCAGTATTTTTTGCAGGGTGAATGCAAGTTTGGCAGTGGCTGTAAGAGATCCCATGATTTCTCTAGTTTTGAGAATCGGGAAAAACTGGAGAAGTTGGGCATGAGCTCAGACCTGGTGAGCAGGCTGCCTTCCATTTATAGAAATGCTCATGACATCAAGAATAAGAGCTCTACCTCTGGCAGAGGGGACCCTTCTGCCCCTGGGATGACTGGTAAGGCCCTGGGCTTGTGCTCCTGGATTCTAGCTGGCCATTGAATGGAATGTATGACTGGATAAACCTGTGCTGCTTTTGTAAAATGCAGTTAGTGATCCCTTCCTAGCTAGTGGAGACCATGAGAATGAGCTGAGATCATGGCCATGAACAAGCAAGACATTCTAGAGAAATCCCAGTTGGTGTTGATGGTAAATGAATTCCTAATGGGCCTCGTCTGCATTGAGATGGGAGACTCTGCTTCTCCCTTGCAGCCGTCCCTCTGTTCCCTGGAGAGCTTGCCTTTCAATGAGGGACCCCAAAGTTTAGAATGCTGTGCTGCACAACTCTAGGGGTATCCTTTGCAGTGCATTCTGTTTAATTTTTTAAAAATGAGGGAATGAAGCATATTGGCTCTCTTGATATGAATAAATAGATTTTTTAATTTTTTTTTTGTAAATTTGGTTTGTTCACTGCTCATCTCCAGTACCTGGCCCACAGTAGGCACTCAGCTATTTGTTGAATGAATGAGCATTCTAGGATAAGTATTATTTTTTTAAAAAGAATGCCAGGCTTACTGATAGGCACATGGGGATTCTGAGCAGAGACTGTTTATGTAATAAGCATTTCTTGAGTACCTGTTGTGTGAGACATGAGTAACGTGGTCCCTTGGGGAGATTATGATGACATTAGTGTCCTTTTGCATTCCACAGTATCAGCTATTGGCTTGCCATTCTAGTTATCCATTCTTTCATTCAACAAATTTGAGTGCATGCCATGTGCTAGCCACTGTCTTAGTGACTATGAGACATGGCTCCCCGCAGGGATGCAGAGTCAAACCCACTTGTTACCTATAGTGATATCTAGGATTTTTTTTTTTTTTAAGATTTTTATTGGGGAATTGGGGGCATGGAAACAGTGCTGGGGAATTGGGGGAAGGGGAACCAACAAGTTGCTGTCCTTTTGTTCTTCAGTCTAGTTGTGGAGGACATTGCTTCACTGGCCCAAGTTGGCACCATCATTGCGCTCTTCCCGGGTGAGGCAGATCAGTAGCCGGCCTCTGGACGGCCGCTCACGGCGGCTGCTGGCCGCTCACGCTGGCTGCTGGCTACACACGGTAGCCCATGGCAACCCACTGCCACAGGGGCTGCAGCCTATGCCGTCGCCGGTGACTCACAGCAGCCCAGCTCCAGGTTGAGCTGCTGTTCAGCATCTTAGCTGTGGAGGGCAGTGTCACTGGCCCTCATATGTGGGATCCGAACCGGGGCCCCCTGGTGTCCCAAGCCAGTTCTTAACCATTGCGCCACTCGGCTGGTCCATATCTAGGATTTTTAATAGACCCCTTCCTAAAATATCAGATAAGTGTCTGGACTACCAGCAAACAGACCTATCCTGCTAATCTTATCTGATTTTTATATTTTAAAATTGCCCTTGCCATATGTGTTCTTTCTTCACATTTTCTTCGTTAATTTTGGTTAATTTCTTTCAGTAGTACGAAGCCTAGAGGTAGATTTTGTTTTAAGTAGGTCTTGAAGAGTTCATTTGGATTGTGGCCTTGTTAGAACTGGAGGGAAGGATACCTACCCTTGGGGACAGGCAGGTGACCTTCAGGGCTCCACAGGTGTGGGTTTTGAGGCCCAGCTTGTGGATGTTTGAGGGGCCCATGAAAAGAAAGGGAAGATGAGTTACAAAATGACAGGTGATACTAAATAAGGAGGTTTCCTGTATACTTATACAGTGGTAGGTGTGGCAAGAGGAAATGTGATTATTAAAGGCTCATTGAAGCACTAGTAAAGGTAAACTTTGAAATCACGTACATGCCCTTCTTATATGAAAATTCTGATAATTAACTTAAAATTAACTGAGATTTTTATTTTGAGAGGTAAGCTTTCCATTTGTTGCTTTTCTCTTGGCATTGGTACCCAGTTCTAATAGTTCATTAACAAGTATTTGCTATTAGAATCAAATCCAGTTTATAAAATGCAGCCCTTCACTTGCCCTCCCTAGATCCAGAAGGAACCTTAAGCTATCTCAGTGTATAGGATAGTGGTTCTCCCCAGGTTCTACGCCAGAGGTTCTAATGGAGTCAGTCTGGGACAGAGCAGGTACTTGTATTTTTAAATGGGTCTCCCAGTGAACTGGGTATGCAGCCAGAGCGAGAAAAGCGCCCTCATGGTGTCCTGGATTTGGCAAGCTGCCGTGTGGCCTTGGTCTCCCTGGCTCCTCCCTGAAAAGCAGAGACATACACCCACCTGTATGTCTGGTGCTTTCTGCCCGAGCTCTGTAGGATTTTGTGAAGTAGCCTGCCCACTTTGTTTTGTGCAGGGAGATGAATGAATCCTCTTTTCTTTCCTTTGTATTTTGAATTACTGCAACCTCATAAATGAAGCTTCCATGGAGGCTGATAGGTCTTTGTGGTGTTTCTTTGTAGAAAGAAGAGACAGTTCAGGTTCTGTGCCCCCAGCCACTACTAACCAAGAAGAGGAGGGTGATCAGATCTGTTTGTTCCATATCCTAAAAAGTTGTAGGTTTCAAGGTAAGTCGGAGGTGAAACCCTTCATTCATGTGTGGGTGGGATAACTGCTTCTCATTCCTGGAGCTCTGCTCTGAGGTTCTCTCTCCCATCCAGAGAAGATCAGGCCTTTTTAATCATGAGCTGGTGTGGCATTTGTCCAAACCAATTCTGAAGCAATTTCGTTGGGGAGTTGAGGATGGTAGGAATTAAATTTGAGTTTCTAAAAATCAAACTGTACGTGAGTTTCGGGGAATATTACTGGGTCATGCAGCAAGTAAGTGTCAATTGTTGACTCATGGTCAGCTTAACATGAGGTTACAGACATGCACAAGACATGGGTGCCCAGTATAGTGGGAACAAAATAAGTGTCCCTCTGAAGGGTGATCATGGACTTAGAGATAACCTTAGAAACCGGGAATGCCCTTCCTGAGAAAGACACCTGTGTTCGCTCTTGAGGGACGAGTAATTAAGTTGGGGTTTTCTCTCCCCAGCCTCCCTTTTATCATAAGTAACAATTCTTGTGTGTATGTATCTGTATTTTCACTAAACCTTTGTTTTCTTCTTACTGATGTCCTGGGCTTTGATTGAAGAACGATCCCTTCTCAAAATCAGTGACTCCTCCTAAAAACACAACCACCACAACTTCGTGTTTCATTTTCAGTCTTTAAAAACTACCCAAGCAATTCAGAATACTTTCACTTTGTGAAAGAGTCAAATAATACAGAGTAAAGTCTGAGGTCCTCCTTTAGCCAAAAGGTAAACACATGCCATGTGGTCATGATATTTGTTTTACATATTTTTTCAACAGATGGGAACATGTGACATATTATTAAACCTGCTTTACTTTACATTATATCTTGGAGGGTTTTTTCTACATTAGTATTCGTAAATCCACCTTGTTTTTTAAAAAACAATTGTGTAGTATTCACTTAGAGTGATGCTCCATTGAGCATCTGAGTGCACGTGTATTTCCATTGATACATTTCTGGAAATGGAATGCGAGGTCAAGGAATGTGTGCCACATATACATATACGTATATTTTTAAAGTCAATGTGGTGGTCTAATTTACGCACAAAAAAATGCACTCATTTTAAGTGTGCACTCTTAAGTTTTGGTAAATATGTATGCCCGTGTAGCTATCACTATCATCTAGATAGGGAACAGTTCCCTCATTCCAAAAATTTCCCTTATGCCCCTTTACAGTTAATCCTCAGCACCCCAATTTTCTGACCCCAGGCCATCCCTGATCTACTTTTTATCACTGCAGATTAGATTAGCCTTTTCTAGAATTCACTTAAATGGAATCATACAGTATGTGATCTTTTGTGAATTTTTATGATTTTTCCCATTTTGGGGGGTTCTTTGATCTCTCATATCGAGTTGTAAGAGTTTTGAATATTCTTGTTACAAGTCTTTGTCAGGTGTAGGTATTGAAAATATATTCTCCCAGTCTTTGTCTTCCAAGATCATTTTCTTAATGATATCTTTTGAAGAATGTGAGTTTTAATATTGATATGCATTTTAATATTTTTTGATGGTTTGTGTTTTTGGTACCTTAAAAATCTTTGCCTATTCCAAGCCCGTAAAAATGTTTCTCCTGTGGTGTTTTTCTAGAAGTTTTGTAGGTTTAGCTTTTATGTTTAGGTCTAACTGTAACTCTTGACCTGTTTTCTCTAATAATTACTTCCTTAGGTATTGATTCTTCTTTGTGAGTTGGCTGGCTGTCTGTGTAGTTTTTCTTGTGTTTTGGGTGACCCTTGGTTGTCTGCTCATGTTGGTACTCAGGATCCCTGTGCCAGGCTTAACAGGGAAGAGGTATATGTCTTGGTTGGTGGGTGGGCTGCTTGCATGTATCCTAGGACCGGGGGCTTTGGTGACTTGCTCACAGGCTTCACTCTTTCTCCAGCCTTTCTGTCCACACTCATATTCCATGGGAAGAATAGCAAGGTTGCTGAGCAGAAGCAAGGCACTGAGGGAGCGCCTGCTCTTGTGGGTCCCATTATTCCCATTGCCACGGCCTCGTGTCTTCCTTGTTCCTTGTCACATTGAACTCTGAGTTTGTGAAGCCCGCAGCCCTTGTGACTTCTGCATGCTTTGTATGACTTTTTCTCTCTCTTTTTTCTCTATCAGTTTGATTCTGTCTGCTTCATATTTTTAGGAATTCTTCAATAAATCTGATTTTTTTGTTGGACCGTTTTATTTTCTGGTACTTTTGGATTTATTCTTGTCTATGGCCTATCATTTCAAGGGCTGTAGGGAGAAAGGGGGTGTGGATGTGGGTACTTGGCCAAATTGATTTGATTTCTGTAGCTCACCTTCTGGAAAGCCTAGACTGGAGTGTTGCAGTGGGGTGGGGAACATTAGAAAGAAGGAAGGAAACTGAGAAAGGGGACAGAAGGACCAGGGCAGATGTGGCAGACAGAGGGCCTCATGCTTCCATGACTGAGCTGGGACTCAGCTCTTGCCAGCCACTGTGACTGTGATAGCCTGTGTGGCACCCTCTTTTCCTGGCACCTTCTGGCTTGTGAGTGGCGGGGGCTCCACTCAGCTATGATTAAGAATTGAAAAGCAAGAGCCTGCTGTTTGACCACAGTGCCTGCTTTTGGTCCCCATGGCCTTCCCAAGGAAGCGTCAGCCTGGAAGGTGGTGGATGGTGTGCCTTCCGTGGAGGTGCCTTCTTAGGGGAGAGCCTTTTTCAGGCCATCTAGGACTCACCTGTGTCGCGGTGTATGGATATGGCTACTGAACACTTACCAAGGATCATTTCCCTTAGTGTCCTTCAGGAGGGAACAGAAAATCATATTTGCTGTAACCTCTGGACCACAGCTTTGGCCTCATCTATCCAGACCAAATGTGTGTATTTAGAGTATCTCTAATCTTTTTTCTATTTTTTTTTTTTTTTACCCAAAAAGAGGCATACTGCACCTTGTTGTGTATCTTTCTACCTAATAGCATGTATCTTGGAGGCAGCTCTGTATCAGAGCGCACAGAGCTTCCCATTGCTTTCCTTTCCTGTCTTCCTTTGCTCTCACAACATTCCTTTGTATGGATGTACCAGAAGCTCAAAGGGTGTTGGAAGGTAGAGGCAGGCTGTGGGCAGCATTCCAGGTGAGGGGCCTGTATGAGACAGGGCGAGGCAGGAGGGAAGTGCTAGGAGCGACCGAGGTCCTGGGGAGCACAGAGAAAGGGGAGTCATACGCTGGAAACCATAGAACTGGGCAGTGTGTGTACATGTGCAAAGCAGTGTGTTCAAAGACCTTCAGGGTGTGCGTGTGTTGAGGAGAGGTGAGTATGTTAGCAGGCCAAAAGATCAAAGTGCTGGAACCACACTGCTGAACCCACCTGTGGTCGAACATGGGGTTGGGATGGGTTTCAAGTAGAGATAAAGCTAGCTCCGTTTCGATGTGACCACTGCTCATGTACCTGCCACATGAATAGCAATAAGCCATCGTCAGACTGCTTGCTATCTGCAGGGGTGGAGCCTTCAACCTTCTTAATGATCAGCTTCTTCACTATCATGAGATGAAATTCATATGAAATGTAACCTGCCAACATATATCTTTTTAGAAATCAGTGTAATGTCCTGTTAAAAAGGGAGGCATAAAAGGAAAATGTATATAATAATATATGTAGTATTTCAGTATCTAAATGCTAAGATATGACTGACTGTACTAGAAAAAGACTCCCCTGCAGATTCCAAAACATTCCCAGATCAGTGATCAGGACTACAACCATTGAGAACCACAGGACTAGGCCACAGTGTCTAATGCCAAGATCTCTTATTTCTTTATGTTTTTATTTTAGATAAGTGCAGTAACGTTCATTTCCATTTACCATATCGATGGCAATTCTTGGATGGAGGCAAGTGGAAGGATTTGGACAAAATGGAGCTTATTGAAAAGGCATATAGTGATCCCAAAATAAAAAGGTAGGCAATATGTCACCTTGTGTCTGCTTTGTATCTGGGCTTTTCTGGGTGTGTGTGTGTGAAGTTTAGACACAGTGATTTAGTTTTGATCTCTCTCTCACACACACACACAAACACACACACCCTTGCTCTCTCACTCAGTAAGCAGACGGTCTGTAGGTGGAGTTCTGGGCTGGGAATTGGACGTTAATGTTCATACTGATGGTTTGGTGCCTCTGTTCTTCTGCCTTCCTTCTCCTTTCAGGGAGCATCTGTGGGGAAGGAGGTGGTAGTACCAAATGAGTCTGAATTACTTGCTGTTGGGATTGATTGTGTACTTATATCCTCATTGATTAGTGCAGAAAAATGAGAGGCAATCATTGTGAAATTTTAGCCTTTGCCTGTGAAGTCATATGGCTGAAACTGCTATTTATCCAGCCATTAACTTCTTTATTTTTCTAAGTGTGTCCCAGTATTTTAGTCAATTCAGAGTAAATGGGGAAGGCCTGGGTAGCCTTATTTTCAAATATTTACCATATCTTGGATTGAATTTACTAAAATAAGTTGTCATGAAGAAAATTTGAGCCTACTTTTTGAATGGATAGAATAAAATTGTGCTTAGAGTGCAATTATGTGCAAATTGCTACTGGTAAAGTATGTGAAACAAATGACTCCCCTTAGGAGGATTAATTGGCTTACGAACCACTCCCTTTCTCTCTCTCCCTCTTTTATTCTGAGGCAAAATTTACACACAGTGAGGTGCACAGATATTAAGTATATAGTTCAGTGAGTTTGACAACTGCATACACTCATATAGCCAAATGATCCAGAAGTAGCTCCTTTTCATCACCCCAGCAAGTCTCCCCCCCCCCATTCCCTTCTGGTCAGTGCCAACCCCTGTAGGCCACCGCTATTCTGATGCTTATCACCATAGATTAGTCTTGCCTGTTCTTGAACTTTATCTGAATGGAACTGTACACTGGACTGTTGTATCTGACATCCTTCTCAGCACACTCTCTTCGAGACTCATCATCCAAATTGGCTTGTCTCCTGGGTTTCCCTAGGGCAGGTGTTCAGGGATGAAACTGTTGGGGTTAGGCTGGGTCCACCCTAAACTCTGTCAGGTGATGCCAAATTGTTTTCCAAAGTGATCGTGCCACTTTTCACTCCCATTAGCAGTCTGTAGTGTCATATCTCTCTAACGTTTGGTACTGTCCGCCACCTGAACTTTTTCTTTCCAGTCTGGGGGGGAAATTGATATCTTCGTTTGCATGTCCTATGAGGTAAAGTGTCTTCCATATGTTTGTGGCCCATTTGTGTTTCTGTGAAATGTCTGTCCTACTAATAGTTTGCCCATTTCGGTGGGTTTAGGGAATTGTGTTGTGTTGTTTTTTAGTTGTTTAGTTATTTAGATGTTCTAATTTCAGGAATTTTAAAAATTTCTGGATATTGAATGTGTATTGAAAATAAACTTTCTGTCAGATTATGACATCTTTCAATGAAAAGAAGTATTTATCTGTTTTCATTGTTTTTTGCTTTATGTGTCATAAGAAATCCTTTCTTATCCCAAGACCATGAAGACATTTTCCTGAATTTTCTTTAAAAAGTCTTAAGGTTTTAAGAACTATATTTAATTTCTCCCTGTATGTGGTGAAGTATGGGTCCAGTTTCATTCTTAGGCAGATGAATTACCAGTTTTGCCAAAAATCACTTTTTTAAAATTTATTTAATTTAAAATTTAAAAAATTTTGGTAAAATATACATAACATAAAATGTACGATCTTAACCATTTTTAAGTGTACATACAGTTCAGTGGCGTTAAGTACATTTGCATTGTTATGCAGCCATCACCATTAACCATTTCCAGAAGTTTCTTTTTTTTTATTTTTATTTTATTTTTATTTTTTTTTTTAATTGGGGGAATTGGAACAGTGCTGGGGAATTGGGGGAAGGGGAACAGACAAGTTGCTGTCGTCTTGTTCTTCAATCTAGTTGTGGAGGATGTTGCTTCACTGGCCCAAGTTGGCACCATCATTGCGCTCTTCTCTGGCGAGGCAGATCAGTCGCCGGCTTCTGGACGGCCGCTCACTGTGGCTGCTGGCCACTCACGCTGGCTGCTGGCTACATACGGTAGCCCATGGCAACCCACTGCCACAGGGGCTGCAGCCTACGCCGTCGCCGGCGACTCATGGCAGCCCAGCTCCAGGTTGAGCTGTTGTTCAGCATCTTAGCTGTAGAGGGCAGTGTCACTGGCCCTCATATGTGGGATCCGAACCGGGGCCCTCTGGCATCCCAAGCGAGTTCTTAACCATCGCGCCACTCGGCCGGCCCCTCCAGAAGTTTCTAATATGTTATCCCCTTTTTTTTCTTGATCAGTCTTGCAGAGATTTATTAATTTTACTGATATTTTTCTTTTTTGGAATGGCTAACTTTTGACCTTTTTTGATCTCATATGTTAGATGACCCATGATTTATTTCTAAGTGTATTTTAAGTTTTGTTTATTTAATTACAAATGAACTGCATTGTGGTCAGAAAATATAGACCATATAATAACAGATACTTTGAATTTTGTTGAGACTTGCTTTATGGGTGTAATAGATGGTCATTTTTAGTAAAAGTTCTGTGTATGCTAAAAATGTTCTGGATGCATTGCTAGATGAAGTGTGTTAATTATGTGGTTCATATCTTCTATATCCCTATTGATTTTTTTGCTGCTTTTATCAGTTACCATAGGGCATATTAACACTCACTATAAATTTGTCAGTTTCTCCTTATAATTGCATCAATTTTTGCTTTATATATTAAAAAACTTATAATGCGTATAAGTTAAAAATTTTTGTCTTTAATAATTTGAGCCTGTTAGCAATGTAAAGTGGAGCTTTTTATTTCTAATGCTTTTTGCCTTAAGTCTGTTTTTGTTTGATATTAATATAACAATGCCAACTTTAGTTACTGTTTGCTATTTTTTTACTTTCAAGATTTTTTTGTCTTTATATTTTAGATATATTTTCTGTAAACATAATAGAACTGGATATTTTTCAAGTTTGACAATCTTTGCCTTTTAATTAAAAGTTTACTTATTTAAGGCTCACTTCAGCAGCAGGTATACTAAAATTGGAACGATACAGTCAAGATTAGCATGACTCCTGCACAAGGATGACACACAAATTTGTGAAGCGTTCCATGTTTCTAACTATTGCTTTATACACATGAAACTAATTTTTAAAAAGTTAATTATATTTATTGTGATTACTTACACATTTGAATTAATTTTTACTGTCCATCTTGATTTTTGCTATTTGACATGCTTTTTCTGCATTTCTTTTATTTGGTCTTAGATATTTTTTCCTCATTTGATTTTTTTCCCCTTATCTGCTAGTTTAGAAGTTATGTACCGAATATCTGTTCTTTTAGTAGTTACTCAAGAAATCTACATAGGCCCTTTAACTTAACAAACTTTAGTGTAATAATTTAAGCTAGTTTATACTTTTAATCATTCTCTTGAATTATGAAAGAATCATGAACATTGAATTCTGGTTAGTTCCATTCAAACTTATTTACTACTTGTATGAATTTGGGCAAATTACTTAATCTTCCTGTGTCTCAGTTTTCCCATTTGTCAAATAGATAAAATGATAGTTTCTACATCATAGGATTATTTTGAGAATTAAAAGAGTTAATACATGTAAAACACTCAGAACAGTGCGAGGCATATAAGATGTGCTATATAAGCATTGCTTGTATTTTTTTTTTTAATCCCAGAAGTTAGAAGTTAGCATTGTTTTACACAATCAGTATTTGCTTAAACTTACATATTTATAATTTTGTTTTGTGCTCACCATTCCTTTGACATACATTTCCTTGTGGATCATTTTCCTTCTTTAAATTCATCTAGAAGTTGCTTTATTGAGAGTCTAGTGGCAAATGTGTTTTTTGTTTGTCTGAAAGTGTCTTTATTTCATCCTCATTCTTGAAAGATAGTTTTATTGGGTATTTTCTTTCAGCTCTTCAAAGATTATACCATTATTTTCTGGCTTCCATTGCTTCTCTTTAGGAGTTAGCTTTAAGTCTAAATAGTTTTCTAGGGCTTCCATAACAATCCTGGTGACTTAAAACAGAAATTTATTCTGTCTCAGTTCTGGAGGCTAGAGGTCTGAAATCAGGATGTCCACAGGGACACACTCATACAATAAACACTCAGTAAGTTAACTATTGTTATTTTGGTTTCTAAGGATTTCCCTTTCTTGCCAGCTCAGCAGTGCATTTCAAAAAAGAACATTTTAACCAGCATTTTCTGTGTAGTGAAAGCAATGTCATGATAATGAGTTTTCCATATTACCTTGATTTTATTATTTTTGCATGGCAAAACTGATCTTGAAAAGCAGTCCTCCCCTTCTCGCCTTGGAAACATTTTTTAAAGATGTGCATGTCACATTTATGTTCATCTCCCAGCTGACTGTCTAGAAGACCATGGGTGGAAGCTGAGGGGCCTGTGTTCATTTGGCCAGTGGAATTTTCAGTATGCCTCTGATGTTCTTTTGCAGGATCCACTGTGTTACATCTGTCACCTTTCGCTTGGATTCTCTGAACTTTGACTCTATGACATTTGGTGTTGCCCAGGCTCAACGCCTCTCCACACCCTCCTCAGTCACCAAACCTCCACACTTCATCCTTACCACCGAGTGGATTTGGTACTGGAACGATGAGTTCGGTTTTTGGCAGGAATATGGAAAACAAGTAAGTATGATGGAAAGAGTGTAAGTGTTTCCTCTTAAGGGTCTGTATGGAGGAGCCCTTCTAAACATGGGCACAAGGATTGTTCCAGGGAATCAGTGATAGAGCCAAAGATCTCCTAGGTTCTTTTCTGCCTGAGCTCAAGATGTACCCCCAAATTTCAGGTCTAAATTACTTCCACTCAGTGTATTAATTTCCTAGGACTGCCATGACAAAGTGCCACGAACTGGGTGGCTTAGAACAAGAGTGATTTGTTGTCTCCCATTTCTGGAGGCTGGAATTGAAATGAAGGTGTTGTCAGGGCCATGTTCCCTGTGAACCCTGCAGGAAATCCTTGTGTCCTCCTAGCTTCTGGTGGTTTGCTGGCGATCTTTGGTGTTCGTCGCTTGTAGACATATCACTGCAGCCTCCTCCTTTGTCACATAGTGTCTTCCCTGTGTGTGTCTTCACATGGCCATCCTCTTATAAGAACATCAGTCATGTTGGATTAGAGGCCTATCTTAACTAATTACATCTGCAATAACCCTGTTTCCAGATAAGGTCACGTTTTGAGGCACTAGGGGCTAGGACTTCATCAGATCTTATGGGGGGACACAAGTCAACCCATAACATAGTCTTGTATTTAAAAGAATTACTGTTCTTGGCCCACTGAAATTTCCTGCATTAAACTTGTCATCTGTGAGGTATTGGGCTCCAGGATGCATTACCCCAGTCTGTATCCCCTTTGGATTATTCTCAACACGCTTCTCATGTCAATTTACCTTTTGCATTTTTTTCCCCTTTCCTGTGATCACCTTCACCTTGATCTAAAAGCCCTACAATTACCTTCACCCTTTTATATCTGAACAACTCATCCATCTGCTTGGAAGGAAAGACCCCCATTTATTTCTCTGCTCACCATAACCTGACTTCTATTCCATTACTCGTTCATGTGGTTACTGTTCACGGAGCACCTGCAGGAAGTGGGACCCAGCCAGACATAGCCCTCACTGTACCGTGGACGCCAGCAGAGGGCTCAGGTGCCAAGTCCCATGGCATTTCCAGCCTTCGCCCAACCTGCTGCTCGCTCCTTTTTCGCTCTCCTGGCATTCTTGCTTCTCCCTTTGTGGGCTTCTTTTCCAATTCCTTTTGTGAATTTTGGGGTTTCCCGGGGTCCATCCCACACCCCTGTTCTTCTCACTTGTGTGTGTGCACTGGGTGATCACATAAATGCTTCTAATAGTGGTAGCCACTTCAAGTGAGCCTGTATCTCTGTCTCCGGACCAGATTTCTCTTTAAGTGCCAGATTCGTGTATCCAGACACCTGCCAGATACTTCCACAGCACCTTTGCTTTTTGTTCTGGGCACTGTGCTATTTACTCTGTGTGCCGGAATTTAATTATTTCCCAACCCGTTGAGGATGGTATGAGACTACTGTAGGATGATCTGAATATGATTTAAGCATTATTATTAACCTTGTTATAGAATTGAGATTATTGAGGTTCAGAGAAATTACTTTGCCTAGGTTGTAGAATGAACAGGCTTGGAGCCAGAATTCACACTCAGTTCATCCCCAAATATCAGATATCCTGTAGGTAATTGGAACGAGGATGACAGATCAAAATGGATACTTGAAAAAGATAGTAGAGCTCTCCAAGGACTAGAAAAAGAAAACGAGGACTGCCCTTTGATTAAAAGATGGTGTGAACAAGACTTCACAAAGAAGTCTTTGCAGCATTGCTCAGGCTGTCCAGTCAGGCGGCATTTGAGATGACAGGACAGGTGGATCACTGTCCATGTGTCGCCTTCATTTGACTGCTTATGCCATCCATTAAAAGTAATTGAACCCCTCCCTTCAGTGCTCCCCTTTGGCCGTTCCCTGGTTAGCGACACCCACATTTACAATCTTCTATTTTCCCAGTAGCTTTAGGAGGCAGTCATGTTGGCTTCTCTTCAGCGCCTCCCTCTCCTGCCACACTCCTGCTCCCTCCTCTGCCTCCTCCATGGCGGGCATGTCTGCAGCTGGTGAGGAGGTGAGCACCCAGTGTTTGTCCTCAGCATCAGAGGGTCTTGCCTTCATGAAGTATCTGGTTTTCCCCTCCCAGGACATGGAGCACCCCGTGGCCACTGTCAGCAACAGCGATTTGGAAAAGGCCTACCTGGCATACCTTGCACAAGGGTCTGACGCCCAGGCAGCCACTTTGAAGTTCCAGGCTGGAAAGCACAAATATGAGTTAGACTTCAAAGGTACTTCCTGACCCACTGCCCCCACCCAGTAGGGCCTGTTTGCTGTGCCTTTTCCACATTAACCCTGGAGGAGTTCTGTGTGCATAGTGAGGGCCAGGAAAGAAAAGAAAGGGTGGCCTGCTGTCTTGAAGAGCTGCCCATACTCAGGAGACAGACCTGTAAGCAGATGATGCCAGCCCAGTGGGCTTGAGGAGAAGCTGTCTTGGGGGGCGAGGAAAGAGGACCCCGAGAAGGAGACAGGAGCCAAAGTGTGGAGGGACAAGCAGGCATGTGTGCAGTGGCGGTTGTCCTGTTGGCCATGACATCCTCCTGTGTCTGAGGGTTAGCAGGTGCCTTAGTGGTTCTGCTGTGCAGCTTGGCCTCATACTCCCCGGCGTGGCAACATTACTATCTTTTCTGTGGGCGCCTTCAGCATAGATGGGCTGCAGGTTACACACGCAGTAGACACATATTTCAAGTAAAAGTTGCTGGGAAACAGATTTTTGTGTGCTTGTGGTGTCCTGAAACTGGACCTTAAGTGACTTGTCCCTGTTGCCTTGGCAGACAGAAACAGGCCAAACACCCTTTTGGCCAGTTCTTGCAGTGGCGATTGGTGAGGATTTTTTTTGTTTAAGTTTTAGTTTTTATGTAACTTCTCTTAGGCCATTTCCACATGGATTTATCAGTCTGGCCTTGTTAGATTCAGTTTTGCCTTTAAATGCACACCTGAATCCTTCTGGATGTTCAGCAATTTTAAAGGGAGTTAAGTGAGCCTTACTTTAAATACAGTTTACTGTTTTCCCTATTTTTGTGGCCCTTCATTCTTTGTGGAGGGCAGCAGAGTGTCTTCAGTGAATTACCCTAAAACCACTTTAACTGCGTGCTTCTAGCCAGTTGTTTTTGTTGGTGGTTTTGCTTAAGGTATAATCGTTTCCGCCTCGATGGGCCCTTTCAGAGACCCTTTTTTGTTTCTTTCTCTCTTTAATGAGAACTGCTCACCTGCTTTTAGCATCTGTTGGAAAACACAGCCATATGTGAGGTTGTTTGCAGTCCAGTCTGATAAACGCAAGTGCACTAAAGGGGACAGTGAAAGAGAGATACGTGAAATAATAAAAGATCGAGCCTATATAACTAGCACCCATCTGATTGTTGCTGACAACGGTTTGAAATATTTGTTAAAGTATTTGGGGAATAACAAAACAAACAAGGGAAAAATGTCAGATACAACCTTGATCATGGTCACCCTAGGCAGCACCCCCGGCGGGGCAGAACAGAAAGTCAGGTGAGGGTGGGGAAGAGCACATGCATGCCATTGACTGCACACTGCAGGAGAAAGCATGTTCACTGCAGACTGACCCAGGCTCCCCTGGGTGAGCACAGTTCTTTTTTTTGTTGATGGCTAACAGGAGCCATGGCAGTTTGAGGGGAGTTGAGTTATCCACAGCCTTACTGTTAGGTATAATGAAAGCAAGTCTCAGACCAAAATCTGCCACTCACATTTATTAATATTTATTTGTAAGCAAGTACACTTAAGAAACACACATACAACAGGCCAAGTGACTTGTTCTGTAGGATCAGGGAAGACAGCTCTGTCCTTTTAGGGAACCTTGTTCCAAAAGAGTCACTCAAGGCAAATGCAGGATTCCAGAGGCCACATTCTGACATCTGTTAGCTGGCATCAGTTAGGCAGAGTCTCCAAGGATACTTGCTTAGGAACTATGCCTCGAGTATCCTCCTTAAGGAAAAATGCCTCACTTTACCCTGTCCATGGGAGGGCAGGGAATGGGTCTCACATATATTCAGCCAGTCCGTGTATGTTGAATAACTTCTAATTTTACCAGTGAAAGCCCTTTTGAGATTCAGCATAATGTCAGTTAATAGGCCAATAAAAACCCATGTAGTGTGCTAGCAGAGTATTAACAGAAAGGGTTGTGGTAGCTGGGTCTGGGTTGTGGGTTCCTGATCAGAGTGTGGGGGACCCCTCAGATGTGTCCAATCTTGACAACCACCTAGATTGTAGCATAGGAGACACACACCTCAAAAGCAGTGAGGTAAGTTACAGACATCTACAAATATTAAAACATTTTTTGAGTGAAAAAAATTATTTTTATACTTTTAAGTGCAGAAAGTAAGACTTGACAGGGTTTTCCTGGTGGGTGGGGACATGTAATCTAACTTGTAGGTGTTTGTGGTTTTTCAACTCAAGGGCCGGTGACCCTTCCACCCTGAGGATAAATCCGAGGATCTTGGGGATGGATGTGGGGCAAGAAATTTGTTTATTAAAGATGATATGGATCTAAAAAGGTTGAGAAATATTGCTATCGAGTCAGCTTACTCAAAGTAAGAAAAAGTCTTAAGAGTAAAATTATTATATTAAGTCTAAATCCCACTGGCTCAAGATGTGGTAATTCGGTCTCAGGCTGGGCTGAAGCATTTTTATATCCAAACTGGGAAAAATTGCTAAGCAAAATAATAGTTTAAACAAGATTGGAAGGAACAATTTAAAAGCACTCATGTATAATTGATATGTCAATTACTAATCATTCATCTATTCATTAAAGCCAGTCTCCTAAGGATTCCTATTTTCTTTATGAATGTTTGAAATGGTAAAGCTGCCTTATTTTTAACAGACTGATTCTGGGCTTTACACATTTGGATTAGCTTTCCGACCCATTTAATTTGTTTATTAAACATTGCCGCCCTGTGCGTGTGTGTGTGTGTGTATAAAAAGCTATGTATAGATATGCTTATATAACTTTTTTTTCCAGCCTTCGTTCAGAAAAACCTGGCCTATGGCACAGTTAGAAAGGTTCGTCGGAGACCCAGATACGTGTCTCCTGAGGATGTGAAGGCAAAGCAAACCTGGTAAGTGGCATTTGAGGAACTTGTTACATAGCACGTTCGTGTCAGTTGGGGCATGCTCTGCTGAGTACAGAAAACCTCCTCAGACTGGCGAAAACATTAAGGAGGTGTGGTGCCTGAGTGCCTCAGCACTGTGTCTGAGCTTTCTGCGCCTGGCCTGGGATCTTTTCCATCTTTTGCTGTTATAAATAAAACTCCACAAAGGGTATCTGTGTATGTGCTGTTTTTATGTTTGTGGAGATGGGTCATCAGGTTAGAGTGCTAAAAGATCAATGCAAGTTCCTCTTCATGGGGTTGAACCATTATGCAATTGCCCCAGAATGCACGAGGTGCCAGATTGCCTCATCCTTGCCAACACAGTGAGTCTTCACGCGCTGAAATTTTTGCCATTCTCATAGGTGGGAAAGGGGCTATTAGTGTATTTTAATTCGCTTTCTCATAAGTAAGGCTTACTGTTTTTTCCTGACATGTAAGAGCCATTTGCCTTCCTTTTTCTGTGAACTATTTGTCTTTTTGTCTATTTTTCTATTTTTCAAAATAGTGTAGTATTTTGATATTTTTCTTAAATATAAGAACCTTTTATCTATTAGGGAGACCAGATCTCTGTTTGTTGTGTGTGTGTGAGTGTGTGTGTATAAAAATAAATAAAATATCTTCTCTTGGTTTATTTATCTTTTGGCTTTGTTTATGAAGTATTTTACCATGCAGAAATATTTATTACTATATTATATTTTATTTAAATGTATCAGTCACTTCTATGTATTACTTCTGGAATTAGGATTTTGGGTAACTATGACTGCTCCTACTTCTGAAAGTCATTTTTGATTCTTTCCTTCTCCAGAGCCCACCGTAGGCCCAGTTTGGAAAAATCTGTCCTATTTCTGAGATTGGATCTCTTTTGTCATCACTCTGACTGGGTCTTCAGGGGCTACAAGGAGATGCCACACATCAGAAATAAAAAGTGATTTTTTGGTCAGATTCAGAGTAAGATATGAGTGATTTAGGATCTTCCCTTCTCTGTAACCTAAGAGTCACACTTGTTGATGGAGTGAAGGTGACAGGAGCTGGTCATAACTCCAGCAGGCAAGTCTGCTTGGGCCTCCGTGGCTAGCTGGAACTCGTAGAGTGGGTCACTTTCAGAAAGAACTCTATTTACACAGTTAACAGGGTCACAGAATATGATCTCCACATTCAGAAGTGCTAATACAGGAGTTAAGTGGAAAGTTTGAAGTGGCATTTACGTACATCAGGTATCTGGTTTAGATCTTACTATCCTTCCATCCTCGATGAAAATGTTCTACTCATGTGATTGGGTCTTATTTTTTCTTTCCTTATCTTCTGGATATATCTTGTCATTTTTTCCCTTTCACTAGTTTGGAAGTTATACACTTTTATCTTTTTTTATAATTATTATTATTTATTTTTTTAGCTGAGCCATCCTGCCACCTGTTGGCAGCTCAGCGGTAGCTGAGCTTGGGCCTGGAATCAAACCGGTGACCCTGTTGCTCAGAGCTCACACTCTTGAGTAAGCTCTTGACTAACTGAGCCACTTGGCCGGCCCATTTTATCATTTTTTTTAAAGGCCGCACTAGAAATTACAACATGTGTTCTTCACTTAGATATATAAGTCAGTCATTATCTTTGCACTCCTATCAACTGATATAAGGACCGTCATATACTTTATTCTATTTACTGTTCTCTTATGTAAGTTTTCAACTTCATGAGGCAGTTATTTTATACAACGAATGTTTCATTCAGTTTACTCACATTTTTACCACTTTCTTTGTTCTTTCAAATTTCCTTAGATGAAGGTCTGTTGGAAAAATGTGTTTTGTTTGTTTGAGTATATCTTTATTTTTCCCTCAATCTTGAAAAATATTTATACTGGATATTGGATTTTTGGTTGTACTTATTTTCTCTTAGAACATTGATGATATCAGTCCACTGGTCCTCTGGTTTCCATTGCTGCTTTTAAGAAATCAGGTGTCATTCTGGCTGCCCCACCTTTCCCTGAAGCACTCTTTTTTCCTCTAGCTACTTTTAAGGTTTTCCTTTTGTCTTGGTGTTGTAGACTGTCACTATGGCGTGTTTGGGTATGTGTTTTTATTCTATTGGAGATTCTTTGGGCGTCTTAAACCTGTAATTCACAGGTGACTCTCATTAAGTCTTTGAAGATTGCCTCCACCCTGTTCTCTCTCCTCTCTTTGGGTTTCAGTTTGGTTCTGACCAGAATCTGACCTTCTCACTCTCTTCTCCATGTCTCAGCTTCTTCCCAGAGTTTCCATCTCCTTATTGCTCTGGGCCATATTCTGGAGAATTCCAGTTCCCATCTCTTTCAGCTCACTCATTCTCTCTCCAGGTGGTCTAATCGCTAGTCAGCCTGTCCATTGGACTTTTACTGTCAAGGATTGAATTTTTTATTTCTAGAAGTTTTTTTTGTTTGTTTATTTTTTTTCAGATCTTCCACGTCTTTTTACAGTGCCCTGTTCCTTGCATATAGTTTTAGTTTGTCTTTTGTTTCTTTAAACATAGAAACAATAGTTGTTTTATACTGTGCCTGATAATTTCAGCAACTTAAGTCTTCATGGGTCTGTTTGGTTGTGGGATCTTGCTTAGTTATTTTTAAATAACTAATAAATTTTCCTTGGAAAGTTATTTGTGGGAATTCTTTGAGGCTTAGGATGAAGGTCTCATGCCAGTAAAAACAGAAGGTAGATCTATTGTGGGAAGAGCAGAACATTCTGAAACTGAGTAGCAGTGATTTAGAACTAGTTTCCCAGTCCTTGTTCCTAAACTCTTTGGGCCATACATGTCTTTTAGAACTCAGTTTTTATTTTTATTTTTAGAAAGATCACGTGCTGCTTGTGTTGTGTGGCACCCTGTAATTAATATTTCTGCAGTCAAAAATATGCATAGTCACTTTAAGAAGGATAATAAGGGACCACAAGTAGCCTCTTAGCAAATTTCTCCTGCCAAGTTGAGTTTTGACGTCAATTTTATGATTTAAAAAAAAGTCTTTATATTCCAATTACACCTCATTGAGGCTATTCTAAATAGTAATTCAGAGCTCTTTAATAAAACTTTCAGAGCTCTTTGAATTTCAAAATCATGGATAAGGGTTTGTGTGTGCTGCTTTAATCACATACTCTCTTCCTTATGTGCAGGAGTTGAGCTACAGGTGAGAAATGACCCCCTCAGGCCTGATTGTTTCAGTTTAGGTAACTTAGGCAAAGAGGGAAGCATTCTCACAAGGTGGATAGTGTGCTTATGTGCTTCCTGTCCTCCCTACTTTTACAAAACGAAATGCTGAGACTTGAGACCGGTGGTATTGGCTAGTGGAGGCCACCTGTGATAGTCTGCTTGTGTCTGAGAACTAAATGTCATAGTGTTTTTGTTTACATTTTGTAGCAGTGTCAAGTTTCAAGGCCCAAAGAATATCCCAGACCATTGGGACCCCTCAGCCCTGCCGGACACTGGCTTTAAGGTATGGGACTTGTGCTGCCTTGGGCTGGGATGGAGAGTGTTCTTAGAGCTAGGTGAGTATGAGCGACTGTGCAGTTTCCTCCACTGCTGAAAAGCCTGCGACCAGGGCTCAGGAGGGAGCAGGGCGGAGGTGTGTGTAGGGTTTTTATTATTTTTTTTTAGGTCTTAGCGATTTTGAGGCTAGAGATCATCCAGGAGATGGCTATGGCCCTGAGGGGACAGGATACATTGTGAATGGAGGACGACGGGCTGGAAATTTTCTAGAAAGGGCAGAAATAAGGAGCTTACGAGCTGGGCTCAGCCAATACATATTAGTTTTTCTAAGCAAGAGAAGGAAAAGAAACCAGGGGATGATTTGAGTATAATGAGGGAACATCTAGAAGGGACAATGCTATTGGAAGGTGCTAGATACTAGAAGACAAGGAACGGTCAGTTCAGTAGCTCATTGAGGGCCTGCTAGAAGATGGCAGCTGCGCTGAGTTCAGTGGAATACTCAGGCCAATGTTCGATGCTGCCCCATCTTTGTGGGGCGCTCGGGCTGGCCTCTGATGGCTGGCCTGCTGCCAGGTACTATGCAGCTTTTACAAAATGGCGATCACATCCCTGGGAGGACTCACCTTGTCGAGTTGTATAAAGCTCACACAGACACCAACAGCACAGGCAAGATGTGTGAAGGGCTGGGTGAACTGACAACAGCACTCTGATGTCAGCAGATGAGGCAGCCATATTGAAGGGATCAGGGAAGGTGTCACTGGATCCACATCTAAATGATGGCTGGGGCTTGTACAGGCAGAGGTGGGAGAACAAACATATAGGTTGATGGGAACTGCATGGGAAGCAGCCCATTTCGTGTCACAGGTGTCAGGTGTGTCTTGGATGGAGGTCATGCATAGTCATGGGGAGTAGGAGAGAAGTCAGGGCTGTGCTATGGAGCCCATTCCTTGGCCATGGGGCCGAGCAGCAGCTGTGACAGGTGTGGGAGCCCGTGACGATCTCTGGTCTCGGGGGCGGGGGAGGAGGGCAGGGTTGGTTCCATACTTGAGGAAGAGGAGTTTAGCAGCTTCCGGTGAGATAGGTGCAGAGAAAGCAGAGTCAGGGTTTGAGTTGCAGGAGACCCATGGACATTCATGCTAAGCCCTGATCATTCAGGACCTTTCGGGGATGAGGTGGTTTTTATGAGGCTGCACTTAGGGTGGGGGAGGGGGATGGTGTAGAGGGATTCCCCAGAGATCCCCAAACCAGCCGTCACTGGGTCAGACCTGGTGGAGCTGGGAACAGGGAGGCTGATGAGGTCCAGGCTGCAAGTGCAGGAATTCATGGCTTGTCACTCTGCGATAGTGACTGTCGGCTGCCCTTGGTCAGGGGCCCCTCCTGTCCCATCACAAGTTCTGTTTCCCAGAGCAGAGGCTAAGGGAGAGGCGGGCTAAGCTGGGAGGGATGCAGTGGCCATGCTCCCGAGTTGCTGTGTGCCCGTCTGCCAGCCTGGCCTTTCTGTCAGCACTTGCATTGTGGGGCGCTCATGCAGCACTGCCACCCATGGCAGCGTTTCCTCCCTCCACCAAATGTACACACTCCACATTTATTGACACCAGCTCTGTGGGCTTGTAGACTATGTGGTCTGCCTTGTGTGCGGTCAGAAGAGCAGGGCCATCCTGGGCACACCCAGGATAGTGCTGATGTAAGGGTCACATGCCCGTTCTTGAGGCAGGTTTAACGGTGAACACAAATTGCACACATCCTGCGCCTGGAGAGATACGCCTCGGGGCAAAGGGGAGAGGTGACCACTGTCTGGGCTTGCTTCTGCAGTTCTGTCACTTCAGGAGCAGCCTTGGGAAGAGATAGATCTGTATTCTACACTTTGATGATACATAATAAAAATACTTGCTCTTTGCAGATGATCTCCCTCAAGTTCTCCTCAGAAGAATATCAGAAGGTCTCGAAGCTCTTTAATCATACACTGCCCAACTACTATGTTCAGAAGATTGAGCGAGTCCAGAACCTGGCTCTCTGGGAAGTCTACCAGTGGTACGTTGGGGGCTCGCTCTTGGCAGACTGGTGAATGTCCGCTCAGACCTGTGCACAGGAGGCTAGCTGCTTACCGAACGTGTCCTGGGCTTAGGGGCAATCCCAGATAGCAGCCACTGCTTGCCATGCTGCTGGCATCAGGAGCTGTGTCCCTGCTTTTCCATCTATCTCATCATCTTTATAGCTTAGGGCTGGCATGTCCCCTGAGAGATGAGGCTTCCCCAGTGTCAAAGCCAGCATTTGCACTCACACTTTCTGCCTCCCTGAAGATCAACAGGATGGTTCAATATAAGCCACCTAAACCCTGGGGAAGTTATTGTCCTGACAGCCAGAGAGCAGGGGCCTCATTTTTGTGCCTGAGGACCAGCCTGTTCTTGGGCTCTTGTCCACATGGCAAGGAGATCGTCAGCAGGTCGCCATGGCGGGCCTGGGGTCCTGCTGTCCTGTCCCTACAAGAGTTTGGAGGAGCATCATCTGTACTCTGGGCCCAGTGATGAAATCAGGGTAACTTACAGGAGAGGGGAGATGGGTGGACCCCCACTGACCAGCATCCTCAAGCTCCCCTGGCTAAGCTCCACATGAAAGCAAGGTGGGGGGATGAAGTGCGCCTGCCTCCCCAAGGTTGGTCTGCTTCCGGAGTTGAAGGAGCTGCTGATGGCCACAGGCTGTGGAGGGAAAGGCCTCCCTCTGCTCTCCACCTTTCCCCTCCCTGGCCCGTAGCTGGAGTCTGGTGGGCCTGGACTCGCATCTCCTGGTCTCATGACACTGCTAATAAAATACGTCTTGGGTCAGGTGGCCTGTGTTTGGTGGTAAGGGCCCTCTGCCTTCAGCACACATTTCTTTCCTGTGATTCTAGGCAAAAAGGGCAGATGCAGAAGAAAAATGGAGGGAAGACGGTGGATGAAAGGCAACTGTTCCATGGTACCAGTGCCAGTTTTGTAGAGGCCATCTGCCAGCAGAATTTTGATTGGCGGGTCTGTGGTCTTCATGGCACTTCCTATGGCAAAGGTAAGAGTGGGGGCGACCGCCTCCGGCAGAACCCAGCCTTGCTGTGCTGTCCAGGGCGTGGGAAACCATTTTAAGGCCATTGATGATGGTGGTGGCGGGGGGAATGGCATAAGTTGATTAGCTGGCTCATACTCAGTGAGGAACGGTCCTGGCCGTCTGTGGGGATGCCCAGCTGGCAGCACCCTTCCTCTCCTTGGTGTGCAGCTAGGAGCCTGACCCAAGGCCTGGGTAGGAGCAGCCCTGCTTAGGTTTTCTTTTCTGAGAGAGGGGCCTGCATCACTGTGGAGTGGAAGCCCTGGGAGACAGCGAGCACAAGCTGGGAGAGGAAAGGGGGTGTCTTCCCAACCCCGTACCTGCACTAGTTTGTTAGAATAGAAATTGGAACACCTCGGATACGTTCGTGAAAATATGTCATTCTAGCTATAATGTGAGTTATCTGAGTGTTTTCCTGTCTCTTGGTTATTTTAAAACTTCATTTGGAAATAAATTTCAAACTCACAGGAAAGTTGCAAAAATAACGTTAAAAAAATGCGTAAATTTCTGTGTATATCTAGATTCACGTTGACTTTATCATTTTTTTTTTCAACCATTTGTAAGTAGGTGGCATATATCGTGCCCCTTTAACACCTCTTAAGAATAAAAGGACATTGTATCACCACAACATGGTTATAAGTTGAGAAAATTTCATAACAGTGTGATACTACAGTCAGCAGTCCCTGTTTCAAGTGCAGCAGTTGTCTGTCAGTTAGCCTTAATCCATGTGATGGCTGTGGGGTCAGGATGGATGGGAGCGGTGGTAGGTTGTAAACCAGAATGTCTAGGTGGCTTTCATTAGACAAAGTTCTAATTCCATACATTGGGCTGCTGGTGTCAACAGAGTGGTTCCATGTATGGAATCTTGGTCACTTTCCACACCAACCCTACGAGATTGAGCATGACAGTCCCATTTTATGGCTGAGGAAAACAGGTTGGGAGTTAAGTTTTGTTATGCCCAGAGCGCCTGAGGATTTGAGTGACAGATTCAGAACTTGAAAGAAGTTTTCTGTCTCAGAGTTTGGGGTCCCCTCTGATGCCCTTCATGAAAGAAGGCTGGAGAAAGGGAGGATGGGGTGGGGGGACTCAGTGATGGAGGAGCAGAGGCCACTGGCATTGCCTGGGTGACAGGATGCCGGAGCCGCCCCTTCCAGCTGCCCCATCTTCCCGGTGCCCAGCTGACCTGTGTGTGTCCTTGCAGGGAGCTACTTTGCCCGAGATGCCGCCTATTCCCACCACTACAGCAAATCCAACACGAAGATCCACATGATGTTCCTGGCTCGGGTGCTGGTGGGCGATTTCGTCCGAGGCAGCGCCTCCTTCTTGCGCCCCCCGGCCAAGGAGGGCCAGGGCAACGCCTTGTATGACAGCTGTGTAAACAGCATGTCCGACCCCTCCATCTTCGTGATTTTCGAGAAGCTCCAGGTCTATCCGGAGTACATCATCCAGTACACCACCTCCGCCAAGCCGGCGGCCGGATCCTCCTCCCTGTTCAACCTGGCATCTGTCTTTGGCATCCGGCAGTGAGCACCAGGATGCCTTTCATGCCTCTCAGGCTCGTCTTCCTTTGGGAAAGTTTTTGTTTTTTTTTTTTTAAACAAGTTTTTAATGAACTGTTTAACATTGACTTCTCGATGAAGTTACATTCTTAATCTCTTGCTAATGGTAGTTTTCGGTTTTAAGTCAATTTAGGCACAGTAGTGGACTAACCAGTCGTGATGGTAGGTGAGCCCATTACTGCTTTTACTAGGGTGTTAAGTTTTATTTTTTATTCTCTGTTGACTTTGTTGCTGATTGGCACCCGCACAGCGTTTCCAGATAGTATTTTATGGATTGGTTTTAATTTTTACGAATTTCTGTCTCCAGTGATTTGTTTTTTTTAGGGTCTCGGTGGCATCTTGTTTTAGTTTTGTCAGGATATACACAGTAGCCTGTGGAAAGGAAAACCTACCTTGGGGCCCAGGGAGGCCCAGTCATTGTGTCTGTTGCTCTGGCTCTAATCCAGGCAGCTCTTGTGCTGCTGCTCCTGCACTTCTGGCCTTGGAATTGGTCCATTTATATCACATAGTCAGACACGTGGCTACTGTGGGATGTCATTGAGTCCCTGCCTGTTTCCCTTTTTCACGGGCCTTGCCCGCGAATGCTATCCCTGCATCTCCTAAGCACACTGGATGGACATCCTCTGAATATGTGTTTTATGTCCCCATGAGATTTGAATACCTGTGCTGCAAATGTCACAATAGAGTATGGAAATAAAAGAATATTTATCTGCAGTGGGTGACAACTGAAGCCCGTTCTTCACTGTCGGTGTATTGAGCACTGCTGGGTACAGGCACTTTTCTGGGTGTCGGGATACAACAGAGCCCCCGTTACTGGCCTCAATGGGGGATGGGGCTGTGTGTGGATTTATCATGAAGCTGATGAAGCTGAAGGTTCAGGGCCCCTCACTTGCTGGGGCCCCTTCCACAGCCATAGGAGGGGCTCCTGCTATATGGCCACATGGTCAGATATCTTGGTTAAATCTGCAGAAGTTATGTATTTGTCTTTTTTTCTTTCCCTCCACTCATAAGTTCCAAGCCCCACAAAGCCAAGAGTCACTGTTGAGCACAGTGTTGTGGACATGGAGGGGATGGGTGTGTCCTGTGTGTCCTCCACACATGGCAGGTCATGGAACCTGCTGGGCACTGCCTCTGGCCCCGGGATACAGGGTCTGGAAGGGTGACTCCAAGCTGTGAGGCAGCCTGCCCCCTCCCAGGCGCTGTACCTGTTGGTCTGTGGGTTTAGTCTTCAGCAACAGGCTGCTCTCCTCACCTGCACCCTTCCCCCGTCTTCCTAATACGACGTGTTTACTCTCCATGCAATGCCTCCAATTCAGTTGGTCTTGTCCTGTAGTTCTCAGATCCAAGCTGTTTTTCCATCTTTGGAACGGGGAGAGAGTGAGCTGGAACTTTACATAGGTCAGCTAATCAAGCTGGAAGAGAACTCAGTTAAATGACCAGAAAAATGAAGCAACATCAATACTAACTACCTTATCCACCAGCAGGACCCAGTTGTATATGGTATGATTATCAGCCCTCCACATATTTCTCCCACATCCTGACTAATCCCGAAATTTCATTCATTCATTGCTTTTCGATTAAGTCGTTGGTCCTTCTAAAGTGTAGGTGGGGGGCCCGAGAGGTGTCCGAGAACCATTAAATCAAGTGCTTGCCTACTGAGTCTTAAATGCAGATGAACTGATCCCATGCTTGTTAACCGTCTGGCTTCTCGGAGCTGAGGGAAGGGAAGCAGGACTGGTCCATTTGGGAGTGTAGGTGGGAAGAATGGCACAGGAACCTGAGAGGGAGCCACCAGATGCTCCAGGAAAGTCAAGTGAGCTATGAAGACTGCACACACACAGGTTTGCCGGCCTTTGGGAAAGCAAGTCAGGAAGAGCAACTGCTTGGATTGAAGCTTCGAGAGAGGGATGGGGTCCATGTGGCCAGGTTGTGGGATGGGGGTGGGGGGAGCTGTTCTTACGGGCACGGGAGGTGGGGGGGCATTGTGATAGGAAGAGGTCAAAATAGTCGTGACTCAGAATTGTAGTGCAAAGAGGTAATGGGATCTAGGGCAAGTGCACGGTGGTTGCCAAGAAATGGCAGTGCGGGCCCAGGTGGGATGCAGTCGGGGGTTTTGTGGAGGACCCAGTCGGTGCCATCTCCTGCCTTACCTTTGTTGGTGTTGGATGTGAACAGTGGGATTTAAGCACAGTGAGGGGTTGTGGGTTGGGCGTCCAGTGATTCGAGCACATTAAGAAGCCTCAGGGCCGGCCGAGTGGCTCAGTTGGTTAAGAGCTTGCTCAAGAGTTTGAACTCTGAGCAACAGCGGTTTGATTCCCAGCCCGAGCTGAGCAGCCGCTGAGCTGCCAACAGGTGGCAGGATGGCTCAGCTTAAAACAAAAAAAAGCCTTATATCCAAACATGGTGGCCACTGGATGGAGAAGGTGAGGGAAGCCAACAAAGCTGATGGGCTGGGGGTGCAAGGTGCAGACCTGCACTCCAAGTAGGGAGTCAGGTGCAGGATGAGTTTCTGGGCTGGCCATGGTGGGGGTGGTCGGGGACGGGGGGAGACAGGCAGGGCAGTCAGGAGACAGTGGGTCATCAGGAATGGGAACGGATGGCTTTCTCCAGTGAGTCTGAGCCCCAGGCCAGGCATCTCGAAGGGACTGGAACCCACAGATGAGCAGGTAGTGGTAGCACGTATGTGAGGGCTGTGGGATGGACTGGTGGGACAGTGCTGGGGAACAAGGCTGCCCTTCCTCCTAGGAGGCCAGAGGGAGAGAATGGGGCTCTCCAGGAGACCCCTTAGAGGGAGACATGGGGTGCTGGGGGCTGGAGGGGGGGAGGGCCACACAGCAGAGGCAGCATTCTTATCCGTGAATATGTTGAAACTGTTCTGCCAGCTCTCCTGAAACAGCTAAGCTTTCTAAAGGTGGGTAGCTCCATGCCTACAGATCCTTCTGTATTATCTGTATGACATTTCAGCCCCTTAACTCTGCTCAGATGTCAAATAGAGGAAGGGGTCTTGATCTAGGCCAGTCTCGTTTTGCAGATGAGGAAACTGAGGCGCACGGAGGTGGAAAGACTGGCGGCCACAGCCACACGGCTGCTAGCTTGCAAGTTCTTTGTTGAATTCGAACTTCTCAGCAAAACAATACTTTTACTAAAATTCACCTCTAAATATTCTTTGATCAAAATTAAGAAAAAAGATAATTCTCTTTAAAGGAAACAGTACCCTTTTGCCTCTCGCGTTTCTGTGTGTTGGAACTTACTATAGAGTTGGTATTACCCTATTGTGGATAATCAAAGCATAATAAAACTTTTAAACCACTTTCAAAGTTGAGCTTCTGACGAATGTCATTCTCTAAGTTAAACACCACAGTGCACCCGAAGCTGAAAAGGCCCATGAGCTGGTGCCATCAGGACAGTTCACCTGAGTGTCCCCGTGTCGCCTGCCCTGTAGGTTCCTTCTATCCTGAGGCTAGGACTTCCTTCAAACCCCCAAGTTCTCATTTTGTCAAAACTATGCCTTTCGCTTGTTATCAACAATTCCTTATTGGGAGAGGTGGATCAGTGGTTCAAACACCTTTGGCAGAGTCAAACCCAAGTGCAACAAACATTTATTAAGCATTTAGGAAACGTTACATAAGTGACCTCTTTTATACTTGCATGCCAGGCACCCTTTCAATTGTTTACATAATGTTTCCCCAAAAATCTGAATTTCCACATAAGCGTTTGCTTTGAATGAGGGGGTGCCCTCATCACTGTGTCAGCGGGAGACAATCTTGATGTAGACGCCATTTTTTGGACTTAGGGCAGATTTGGATTCTAGCTGCAGTGGCACCTAAAATAGAGATTAAAACATTTGTCACGGTTAACCACCTTTAGAGGAAAACGTTTTCGGAACTGGGCCTGAACAGGCTTGTGGAAATTGAGCTGAGGGCTGAAGGGTAGCAGGGCCTGTAGTGAGCAAAGCAGCCTGTCCAGCAAGACCTTGAGAACCCAGCAGAGCTACCTGTCCAGGACTGGGCCCTGGGGTCCCAGCAGCACTGGTGCTCACCCCCCTTTCCTGTTAATCCAGCAAGTGAGGTGGGCACTTAAGTCTCAAGAAGCCTGCATAAGAGGTGATTGATAGTGGCTCACGTTGCAAATGAAGAAATGGAGGTTCAGAGAGGCCTAGTGACTTGTCCAAGGTCACATGCCTAGCAGGTGGAGAGCAAAGCCTCAAATGCATCTCCCCATCTCCCTCCCTGATGCCCAGCCAGTAACTGAGCAGCTGCCTCTCTTCCCAAGGGTCTTTGGGGAGAGCGGCCTCATGCTGTTCTGTGTTCATGCGTGGTGTGTTCTGGCTTCACAGCCATTCAGAAAGCTTTCCTTAGGTCCAACGTACAAGGCCGATTGGTGGTGGACTGGGAACTTGGGAGAAAAGCCCAAGAAATAAGCAGGCTATCCCCTTGAGCAGTGTGTAAAATGATGGTTCAGTGGCTACTGTGAACCCTTTCGAGGAAAGAAGGATCAACGAGCCTTAGTGCTGGGGCCTTGGAGGGCTTTCCAGATGTCCAGGGGTTAGAGTTCAGACAGGAGACCAGTTTTATGCTCAAGAAACAAGATGATCTAGACCTGTGCTATCCCATATATTAGTCACTAGCGTGTGTGGCTGCTGAGTTCTTGAAATGTGGTTAGTGCAAATGAGGGGGTGAATTTTATTTGATTTTCATTAAAATGTAAAGAGCTACGCGTGGCTGGTGGCTACTATATTAGTGCAGATCTAGACAAACTTGAAACGCTACTGAAAAAAGGAGAGGTCAGTTGGGTGCTGGCAAAGTCAGGGAGGGCTTCCTGGAAGTGATGCCCGGGGTGGGGCTAGGAAGGAGAAATCATGTGAGCAGGGTTTCTCGGGGGCCACTTTGGGATTTGAGGCAATTCCAAGTGATTTCGAGGATGGGAGCAGGAAGCGGGTGGGGTGACATTCCAGATCAGGGCAGCAGCCAAAGCAGGCAGGGAGGACCAGGTGGAACCCTCTCAGTGGGAAGTTGGGGCAGGGAACAAAAAGTGGGCTCAGATGAGTTCTCCCTGGACCCAGCAAGCTGGGGGCTCATGGCTGGTTCTTGAGCTGGGGAGTGCCAGGGTTAAGCAGTGTTTGGGGACATTGGTCTGGCTGCTATACTGTTTGCCAAGATCAAGGGTAATTGAGACAAACCACAGAAGGAAGTCCTGCACACATGGACCACCTAGGGCATTCGGGGCCTGCTTTCTCTCTCTGCTCCTTCATCTGGCTTGGTTTGGCTCTGTGCTCCCCACCTGCCCCTTTCTCTCCAGCCGTGACCGTCAGACCCTTGTGGACATTTTCATACCCAGTACCTTAATCATTTCTACCTCAATCAAACTCATTATTCCTCCTGGACCAGCAGCCCACCCCAGTCTCTGTTTGTTGGGGGCAATGCCGCTCTCTGGACCTAGAAGTTGTCACCCTCCATCACTGTTTCCTTATTACCTGTCCCCAGCAGAAGGGTTCCTAAAAGGCATGGTGGAGCTGTGTAGGGAGCAGCTAAGATTGTGCAGAAGCGGCTGCTGGATGTAGAGGAAAGAGGGAGGGCTTGGGCTTGGGAGGGAGCAAGTCCTGGTTGAACTCCAGTTTCTTCACACTCTGGCTAGTCATTCATTCCTTCATTCACGTTTGTTGAATGAATGAGTGAGCAATTGCCATGTGCCTGGTATTAAGCTGGGTGCTGGCGCGTCCAGCCATGAATATGACACTTTTGGTCCCTGTCCTCATGGAGCCTGCAGTCCAACTCTGTGACCTCAGGCAGGTTACTTAACCTCCCTGAGCTTTATTTTAGCTCCTCCTCTGAAGAATGGGACTAATGATACCGACTATGCAAGATTACTGGGTTCTCTTTGCCAAAGAGGGAAGGGCTACGGCATCATGAGGCCCAGCCCCGCTGGACGTTGAACAATAATAATAATGATAAGTCGGCTCCAGTGTAGCGAACTGGAGAAGCGCTCCTGCGCCGGAAACAGCGGCGGGGCTCACCTGAGTCTCCCGGCAGGCTTCAAACCGGAAGTTGCTCAGAACGTGGAGCAGCGTCAGCTTGACCTCCAGCAGCCCCAGCCGCACCCCGAGGCAGCTCCGGGGACCCGCTCCAAATGGCAGGTACGTGAAGGGCCGCCTGCGCTGCTGGGCCTCCGCCGTGAACCTGTGGGGCAGCGCGGTCAGGGTTGGCCCAGGACACCACCTTCCTGTTCGGGGCCTCTTCAGTCACTCAGTAGGGTTGAGGGTCTCCTGCATCTGAGGCCACGCTCCTACCAAGCGGGGCCTAAACCTCACCGAGGTCCACAGAGTCCTGTTTTCTTATAGACCCGTCCCTAAGGCTCTGGAGCTGGTGGCTGCTAATCCACCAGCTTCCTGCAAAGGCACTGCTGAATTAAAAGAATCACCTGGAAACTCTGCGTGGCCCTCCCGCCCTCTCCTTAGGAATTCAGTGTGCTGTTAAGGAGCCTGCAGGCCCACTAGCCCCTGAAGGATAAACGAGCCTTAAACCACAGCCCTTAACCTGGACGCCAGGCCCTAACTCCCCCATCCGACAGAGGGCGACACCAGCCATTCCCACTTCCTAAGGAGAGTTCTTGGGCGCTCGCCCTCCTCGCCAGCCCTCCCTGAAGGCTAGGTCCTGCCGTTTTGTCTCCCTTGCCCACACTTGCCTTTCTGGTTCAAGCAGTGAAATTGAACCATTGGCGGTTGTGGTATTCGAACCACAGGGAGCCCTTCCTCAGAAGAATTGCCTGTCAGTTACCAAACTGCAGCATGTGTCACGTGTGTTCTGTGACACTATAGGTAGGTGACAACCACTATTTTGTAATAGCCAGCTCACGTCTTACTTTTCTGGGCCCAAGGAGCCCTTGAGTCACCTTTTTTCAACCTAATATTAATGCACTTTTGTTTTCAAAGGTGATGCTCTAAGCTCTGTAGCCACAGTTTATGGGGCTTGATATTTACCGTATTTCCTGGAGCTGCTGTGCAGCAGGGTGTATGTATCTAGGTCCCACTGCCCACAGTTCCCCAGTGACTGGGTTGTGGAGCTGGGGTCACGTTCCACAGGAAGTTGGAAGCATTAAAGGTGTTTGGCCAGCCCTCTGTTGGCCAGACCGCCTAAGGAAGGGATGTTGCTGGATTCTGAAGGCGGGGGTGGGGGTGGAGTGTGGGGGACTCCTGCACAGACATTTTCAATCTGGGAGCCCAGAGATGAAATTTAGACAATAGATCCAATCCATGTAGGGACAGGAGGGGGACCCAGGTCTACCATGTCAGCGTAGCTGGATCTCATGAATTCCTGGAGAAATTTGGTGGATGCTCTTGTTTTGGAATAGGCTCCAATTTTTTTAAAAAAGGAAATGATGTTTCATTGCTTTCCTGTGCACACCCAAATGTGATCCTCTGTCCTGTTCCTTGGCTTGGACAGAGGACACCCATCTGAAATTGCCTTGTTCTTCACATGCAGTGCTGCTGAAATGCTAAATTTATGGATGCCATTTGGGGATTTTTTTAAATGGCACAATTATTTCCTTCAGAAATTATGCGTCGCAGACCTCTGACTGCCATGCCTGTTGACTGGGGACTTTACTAAATCTTCAGTGACTCCCTGCAGCCACCTCCAACCCCCTTACACCCATGTCTCTTAGGGACCCAGTGCAAAGGCGGGCTCACCTCTGGGGGTCGAAGGTCTCAGGGCACGGCCAGTGCTCAGGGTCGTGGTGTAGGGCGCCCACGGCTGTCTCCACCACGGCGCCTGCCGGGATGCGCTGCCCCAGCACCTCACAGTCCTGCGCCGCCTCCCGTGTGAACCTGCGGGGACACGCGGGTCACTCCGCCTTTATGTGGAGCAGAGATGAGTGGAGCTCCCAGGTGGGCACACCGGGGCAAAGGGGGTCTGAGATTGAAGTGCAGAATGAGGCTGGGGACTCAGGGGGACAGGAGACCCAGCCCTCTTCCCCATTGACCCCAATGGTAGCCAAACCCCACTTTCTCCCCCACTGCATTAACCCTTTATTGCCCAGGACACTCTCTAGTCTCTAGGCTCTTTGGACCCCCACGGCCCTTGGTGAATAGCCCCCACGCGCCTGTCCCTTCCTTCATGCATCCATCCAGCCTGAAGAACCATTTATGCCTGGTGTTGGGGGTGCACAGGTGCCTTTGAAGTGTTTATTTCTGGTGGGGACTTGCAGGGTTATTCCCCTGGCAACACCCTGCACCATCTTCCCTCCATAGTCAAACCTCTTTTTTTTTTTTTTAAAGATTTTATTGGGGAATTGGGGGGAGGGGAACAGCCAAGTTGTTGTCCTTCAGTCTTAGTTGTGGAGGGCGCAGCTAGCTCAGCTGCAAGCCCAGTCACCATCTGGCCACTCGTCGGCAGCTTGTGGCCGCTCAACTCAAGGTGCCGTGTTCAATCTTAGTTGCGGTGGGGCATAGCCCAACATCCCATGTGGGAGTCCAACCGGCAACCTTGTTGTTAGGAGCACGTGCTCTCACCAGCTGAGTCATCCTGCCACTTGTTGGCAGCTTAGGGGCAGCTCAACTCGGGGTGCAGGTCACTAGCCCATGTGGGAATTGAACCGGCGACCCTGTTGCTCAGAGCTCACGCTCTTAACCCAACTGAGCCACTGGGCCAGCCCCGTCAAACCTCTTTTAATCGCCCTCACCCACCCCCTCACTTTACCTAAAGGAAATTTGGGTTTGAAAATCTGTTTCCCATTCATATGTTTCTGTGGATGACTTCTACTAAAGAGGAAAACTACCAGTCAGATTGTGTATTTTATCATATGGCCATGGCATAATCCCATCTATGTTTTATTTTTAAGGGTTAGACTATCTGTGTTTGCATGTGAACATAAAATTTCTGGAAGAATACCTAAACCTCTACCATGATCTCCTCTAGGGGATGGGACTGGGGTGGAGGATGGCAGGGGACCAGCGGTGCCAATGTTTTCTTTGGATCTTTCCGTATTGATTAGGGTTTTTGTTTTTGTTTTAAGTATACACATGTTATTTGGGTAATATAAATAATTATTTTAAAAATCAAAAAGCATCTATGCTGGCTTTAACTTCACGTGGTAGGACTGGGCTTCCCTAAATACCTTAGAGGAGATAAAATTATTATGCTAGTTACCGTTATACCCTGTTCCCGCTTATAAAAGACATTAAGAGCAACCCACAGTTTCTTGCAGCATTTATCACTCTGTTATGAGCCTTTAATATAAGAATAAGGAACATGAAAGACCAGGGCAGTGGCACCCTCCTCAGCACCCCACCCCCCATTCAGGTCCTAAGTTACTAATGTAATTAATACATGCTTGAAGCTGGTAGCAAAACACCAGAGCAGGCAGGTGGGGGGCTCTGACAGGTATAACCTCAGCTCTAAGGGATCAAAAAGGCTATCCCCTGGCATCCCTTTATTTTCATCTTTACCAGAAATAGCTTAGACCCGGATGTAAGATCCCCTTAAATGCCGGAAAACGGGGCCTTCCCTTCTGTATGTGGTTGGGCCTTCTGTCTGACTAGGCTAGACTGACTAAAAGGCCAGAAAAATCTGCTGAATTATAGCTGCATAGAACCCTGGATTCACATTAGTAATAATTCAACAAGAATTGTTATGTTTTCCACAAGGGCCATGCACTATCTCACTGGTTCTCACTGCAGTCCTGTGGGGCCGGCGTGTGTGCCCACCGGACACAAAGGAAACGGAAGCACAGAGCAGTACAGAACTTACCCAAGGTCACACAGCAAACTAAGGGCTGAGCCAAGACTGTCTTGACTTCCTGTCTAGAGCTGTTCTGTCCTTAGGAGCACCAGCTCTATATGCGACTTTCTGAGGGAATTTTAACCAATTCATCCAGACACTGGTTTCTGTCCTGCCCTCAAGTGAGATCACCAGCACGCTGGTTCCCCGGAGCAGTGCCTTCACCGACTTCCTTTGACTCGGTGCTGTTTATAAAAAGAGTCAGTAGGATCATTGGCTGCAGCATTTCGGTGTTAAAGAGCCTGCTCCCTTTGTCACTCAACATGGAGTCTATTCAAGGTCTTATGTGATGAATTCATGATTGAGGTTAGATCCAGGAAATGATGCGTCTGATGAGTTTATACACTTTCTTTCCTCTAGAAAACACGGCTCTTCAACTCCACTGGGTTTCCTCTGTGCCACAAGCCTGAGCACCCAGACGGGCCTGACCCCAGTTACTGGCCATCTCTGGGGCCCCATAAAGACTTCTTTCCTTTCGACAGCCTTTGTTCTATTTTATCCCTGAATATCTTACTTTGAATTTCATGTTAATGTGGATAGCAGCTGCCCACAGTTTCCTTGGAAGGAAGCTGGATATAAATCATTAAAAACCAAGATTGGATCCAGTTTGCTCGGTGACTCCCCCCCGGAATCAGGCAAGGCCTGTAGAATCAGTCTTACAGCATTGGCTTCCTGAGAGCAAGGCGGGCCGTGGCGGTACCGTTGCTCCCAGACCAGGAGACAGAAGCGATGTGTGCCTGGGGACCTCATGATTTGACTCGCACCCCTGGAGTTCTGTATTTGCTCTGGGTCTGGCCCTTTTGGACAATATCTACAATCACACTCTCGAGTGATGTTTTTGGTTTGGAATATACTTTTAAGGCACCTTCAGATGGTCCACATTTTCTCTTTGAAAATGGCCAACGGTATCTCCCTATGGTTTCTATGGTGTATTCATTCATAGAAATGCCAGTGGAACTTATGATCGATATACAGTTCAGTGCTTTGTGTTGTTTCTGTTTCTAGAGCCTGAAATCCGGCCACTGTTTCACTCTCTAAGGGTCTGGGGACCCGAGTTAAGACCCTGTGCTCTGTGAGAATCCCTCTGAAAAAAAGACGAAGACCTGATTCCTGCCCTCAAGGCACCTGCGGCTTGGTGTGACTGGATGTGCAATGGGGACATGTTGTGGAGCGGTTGAAATGCTTCCGAGAATAGAACATGAAGAATAGTTAGAGCAGAAAGGGCTGGGGAGGGAAGCAGGAAGGGGCCGGAGAGGCCCGGCTGAGCTGGACCTCTGGGAGTAGTGAGTCTGGGCTTGCAGCTCTGAGGACAGGACAGGTGTGGGCTCTTGGGGAGCAGGAAGGAGCATCCCAGGCTTTGGGTGGCCCCCCTTGGAATGTCAGCTCCAAGGGCCTGGGTTTTATGTGTTTTGGATGTGGCTGATTTCCTAGCGCTTGGCACAGAGCAGATACTCAATAAACAGTTGCTGAACGAATGAATGGGCGGGGGGAATGGCAAAAGCCATCGAAGGCTAGCAGGCCAAAGAGACTGGCTGCTGTTGGGGAGGAACGTCATGTTAAGACAGGACCAGTGACACTTTGAGCAGGCAGTTTGGATACATGAGAATGGGCCAGGTGTTTATTGCCATGGGTACTGTGTGGCAAGCATTATGTCTGTGCCCTGGGGGATGCAAAGAAGCCCAAGACTCACACCTTACCCCTTGGAGCTTGAGTCCAGCACTGGGGATAACACAGGTGGTGACGGACTGAGCACTAGCAAAGACCCTCAACAGTGATGCTGACAGGGGCCCTGGGGTGCAGGGTGGGGTGAGGGGCTGCGGGCCTACCTGAAAGCTGGCGGGTACATCCTTAAGGTCTCTGCGATCACCATGTCTAGGTAGGGCAGGCCTTCCTGGAGGCTGCAGTACTCAGGGGTCGTCTGACAGAGGGAGTGACAAAGGAAGAGGGTCGAGTTAGACAGAGCCACACAGCCTTCTGTCTTTCCCATTCACTTGAGAGCCCTGCTCCAACTTTAGCGAACACTTAAATGCGAACCCCACTAAATCAAAAGTTGCTTCTGCCCAAATTGCATTCGATTAGCACTCTTCATATTCTGTTGTGCAGAATATCCTGTTGTTCTTGTTTCATGGAGCTGTGTGTTATTGAAGACAAGCCAGCCTGGCCTGGGAGCTGGCTGTCTTGGAGGGTCATAGAGAGAAGTTTGGTTATAAAACAATGCTGGTGTTTACTGAGAGCTGATGATGTGGCAGGCTATGTATGCATTGTACAGACGCTATTGTAGTTAATCCTCCCAGCCAGCCAACCAGAAAGCTCTTCTCCCATTTCTTTGATGAGAAAACTGAGGCTCTGAGAGGTACTCACAGAGGTAGTAATTGGTACCTTGTAAAACTAAAGGACCAACAGTGAAATAGCAAACCAAAGAGAAGAAAAGTTTGCAACGTCTATAAAGGATCGATGGTAACAAAACCCAAAGAGCTATGATAAATCAGTAAGCAGAGAAACTCAGTAGAAAAACAGTCAAAGGCAATGAAGAAGCAAGACACAGAAGAGGAAAGGTGACT